GCACCCGTCCGAGACTGCAGCGTTGGCACGCTCTCACTCTCCTCTCCCTCCTCACAGACCCTACGTGAGATCCAAGGGCCGGAAGTTCGAGCGCGCCAGAGGCCGCAGGGCCAGCCGAGGCTACAAAAACTAACCCCAGATCCTGCCTTGTTATTAAAGATTTTGAATGTTGATGGTCCTTTGTGTGTTTCTGGGGGACGGGAGGGGATTGGAGCCTTAGGCCCAGTCTGGGAGTAGGACTCTGGTGCCCATCTCCATGGAGACCAGGCAGGGAGGGGCCCTTCCCTCGCAGAGTCCGGCTCTACCTGCAGGCGCCCTCTAGCGTGCTAGTGGAACTTGCACTGTTGGACCCTTGGCGGGCCCCCTATGACCAAAGTCCCACCCCCTTAATCCGGGTGACCGGTGTTTCCACGCCTGTTCCCTCCCCCGGATTAGCCACACCTGCTGCTCCTGGCTAGGGATGGTGGGTGGGGTGTGGACCCGGAAGTGCAGAGGGGATGGGACCGCTGTGGGGGAGGGATCCTTGGGAACAGGTGAGTTGCTCCTCTTTCCCTCTTGAGTCTGGCAGGCCATTGGGCCCTGGGCCTGTAACCCGATGAGTGTGTTCCCTGTGTTGGGGCCTTCCCGTACCTGCGAAAGGCACCTGCCTTGTGGGCCCTCCTCTGTTTACAGAAGGGGCTGGGTTCCCCAGATCCCAGGCTAAAACCTGATGAATGAGGCCAGACGGCAGGAAGAGCAGAAATAAAAGCAGGAGGTCTCCAGACCTGTATTCCGACCTCCGAAAAGGCAAGACGAGGGAAAGGGGATGGGGGTCTGGACAAGTTGGGGGAGCTGGATGGGGTGAGAGGGAGCCCCGGTTTTATTCCTCTTCTCTTTGTAGGCCTTGTTGCTGTGGTGTGGAGGAAGGAAGCCGTCTGGGTGTGCGATTGGAAGGAAGGGCTGCTGGTTTGCAGGGATCAGGGGTCCATAGGCCAGAGGTTGGGTCAGGAGCCTCAAAGGGTGCTCCTTGGCCAGGAGTAGGTGGATGGATGGTCAGCTAGCAGGAGATCGTGGGATGGCCAGGGATCAGCATAGATGAGAGGGCAGCCCAAGACAATTCTGGCTAGGAGACAGTCCAGGGCAGCCAGTCCAAGGAACAGTGGCTAGTCAGGCCCTCCATCTCGGTGGGCTGCTGAGGTCATGGGCCGGTTCCATGGTGATGCAAGCCCCTGTGGAGTGTATCCTCCACTATAGCTAAGCCCAAGTGGGTGTGACACCCCTGGGGCAGAGTCCCCAAGAGACAGAGACTGAGACCTCATTCCCTGGCTGGGGAAGGGTGATGCCCAGACTTTGGGCTGGAGCCCATTCTTCCCAAACCGAGAGAGCAGGTTCAAAGGGGAGGTGCCTGGGATGGTCAGTCAGTGAGAGCCGGTGAGCCAGCCACCCGTCGGCAGGAAAAACATTCCCCTGGACACGGCAGGGTGCTCCACCGGTGGTCAGATGCCGACCTTGTTAGCTGGAAGCAGTTGATGTCTGCCAAATAATCAAAAAGCTGGCTGGAGAGGGTCAGTTAGATGTGCTATCGGTCAGGGGCAAATAGCCCACTTCACCTTTAGTTAGGGACAGTCGGGTGGTAGGAGACAGGCAGACAGCCTCTGGCTGTTACCTGGGAGATGGTTGGCCGGTCAGCAGGACCTCTGGCCAGGACAGCTGGGCCTTCAGCCTGACCGAGACCGAACCAGCGACAGGGTCCATTGGGGCCACCAGGGGCCAGGAGGCTGGAAATTGAAGTGCACAGAGGAGCAGCTGATGGGTCACACAGCCGGGGACGGAGTCGAGGGGTCAGCCTGACACACACGCAGGACCGCCCGCGACAGCCGGCCAGAAGTTCAGATGACCAGCCTGTCACTGTGGTGGCTGGAGGCAGGCGGCTGGTCCGTCTGAGCAGCCCATGCCCTGCACAGTGTGATTGTCAGGACGGGGAGCCAGGGACCCAGGGACCTTCACGGAGCGGCCCTGGAAGCTTCGGCCGGCCGCAGAGAGTCTGCCTGGCAGGAGACCCCCAGATGGTCAGTCCCCCAGAGACGGCCGCATCCTCAGACACCCAGCCTGACGGTCCTCCCACCCGAGCAGCCCAATGGCAGCCTCCCAGCTGGCGGCGCTGGAAGGAGAGGAGTCGGGGGCCGGGGGGCTGCCCTTGACCGAGGCCAGCCCCGGCTTCCTGTATTCCGAGGGCCAGCGGCTGGCGCTGGAGGCTCTGCTGAGCAAGGGCGCCGAGGCGTTTGAGGCCTGCGTGCAGCGCGAGGGCCTGCGGCCCTTCCTGAGCGCGGAAGAGCTCCAGAGCCTGGCAGCGGCGGCTGAGGACTGGACCGCATCCAAGCAGCCGCCCAGCAGGGCAGAGGAGGGAGCCCCTGCCACCAATCGGGCCTCGGGCAGCCTGACTTACTGGCCTGGACGGTCAGACGAGCTGGCGCCCACGCTGCGGCTGGGCTGGCCAGAGGACCCAACCTGGAAGGGAATCACCAGGGCACAGCTGTACACCCAGCCCCCCGACGAGGGCCACCCGCCCCTCAAGGAGCTGGTGCGCCAGGAAATCCAGGCCGCCTGCAAGGTGGGGGTCTCAGGGGGGCCTGGTGTCCACTCCCCAGACCCAGACATCCTCATAAACCAGCTCCCGGACCTGGGAGTGGCACATCTTCTGGGGCCCGGGTGTCTCACCCATGCCCTCCTGGGACTCCTGAGTCCACACCTCGCAGCCCTCAGGACCCAGGGGTCCACATCCCCCAGACCTCATCCTCACCCTCTCTCCAAGGCCTGGGTCTCCCTGGGTATCCATGCCCCTTGGACCTAATTATGACCCCTTGGTCTCAGTCATCTACCGCACCGCACCCCACCCCACCCCTAGGGTAGGTGTCTCCATCCTCCCTCCCACGGAGGGTCCAGATGTCTCCCCTACAACCCCCTGGAGAGCATGTTCTTTATCTGACAGCTTTGCGCCTGCCAGCTCCCATGCTAAGTGCTTACACGGGTTAACATTTATAATTGCCAGGAGGGTCCTGGGAGGTTGGGACTTACTATACCGAGTGAGGAGAGATGGGGAAACTGAGGCACGGGAGGTTAAGTCTCTCACCGGTAAGTGACCGAGTGGGGATTTGAACCAAGGCTGTCTGGCCAGTGGGTCAGGAGTCATCTCTGCTACATGTTTCTGCCTGCAAGATCCAGGCCTTCAGCAGCTCCCCCAGTCCCCAGAGCTCCCGCTGCATGACCAAGCAGATCATCCTGCCCCCCCCCGCCCCCCGGTATCCAGGGCACCTCCAAGGACCCAGCCCGCTGAGCCCTGGAGCAGGGCCACCATGCAGTGTCACAGCGCACGGGACACTGTTCGCCATTGCAGATGTGATTATGATGAGTTTTCCAGCAGTAGAGTCCTTGGTCTCCAGGAAGGGCGGTTTTTTCCTCATTCACATGTAGGTGCTGTATGCGCAGCAGTGCATGTCTGGGGGTCTCTCCTGCAGCCCCCCTGAATGACTCGTCGAGGCTGGGCCTTTAAACTCCCACCCCCAGGGCCCCAGCCCCTGACTGTCCCCGGAGCTCCAGGCTCCATCCACAGCCCCTCTCCCCATCCCCCAGCTAGTGGCCGTGGTCATGGACATCTTCACTGACCCAGACCTGCTTTTGGACCTGGTCGATGCTGCGACACACCGCTGGGTGCCTGTCTACCTGCTCCTGGACCACCAGCAGCTGCCTGCCTTCCTGACGCTGGCCCAACAGCTGCGGGTGAACCCCTGGGCCACCGAGGTAGGAGCCTGGCAGGCGGGACCCGAGTCCTGATTCTCCTGGCGCTGGGACCAGCGGGGGGCAGACCCCTCCACAGCGTCCTAGCTCATCGAGGTGGATGCCATCTGAGAGGTCCTCTGAGATCCGATGCCCATGGCATTGGGGGAGTTAGAGGTGGGCCTTCCCACGGGGTCCCTCTGAGTTAGGGCTATCTCCAAGAGACCCCCGAAGCCCAATGTTGGTAGCTCTGGAGAAGCTGGGACAGACTTTTCTACAGAGCCTTGGGCCATCCGGGTCCTAACCAGCCTGGAGGGATCCCCCCCCACCAAGCCCTGGGCAGTGAGTGGAGGTGTGCGGGGTTGGCCCGAGCTAGGGTGTGCCCCCTCTACTCCAGAACCTAGATATCCGTGTTGTGCGAGGCTGCAGTTTCCAGAGCCGATGGCGACGGCAGGTGAGCGGCAGTGTGCGGGAGAAGTTTGTGCTGCTGGATGGCCATAGGGTCATCTCCGGATCCTACAGGTGCGGCTGCCCCCTCCCCCACCACGCGGTGTCCTGTCCCCAACTCTCAGTAGAGCAGTCGGCGTCCCTTTTTACCAGCCTCTCTTTCCTGGTCTGTGAAATGGGTCTAAACACCCTCACTGGTAGAGGAGGTACTGAGGGGCAGAGCCCCTTGTTTGGGGATGAGCCAGGCCTGCCCGGGGGCCAGCTTAGTGGCCTGGGCGGGGGTCATCTCTTCGACCCTGTGTCTCCTCATCTGGGAAACAGGGCCCACAGTTTGTGTGTGGGTTTCAAAACCAGGACGACCTGGATTGGAGTCCTAGCTCTGCCTTGAGTTAACTCCACCTTTCTAAGCATCTATAAAGAAATAAGAGTTGGTATGCAAAGGACCTGGCCCCCGGACTGGCTCGAGTCCCTCCTCTCCTGTCCTTGGGGTCTGACCCACCCTGGATCCTGGCTCCTCAACTTCTCAGCTCTGTGACATACTGGGCCAGTGCCTCCCCTGCTCTGTACCTCAGTTTCCCCATCTGGAAAGGGTGAATTACTAACAGACCTGCCTCATAGGGTCATAGCGTGGGAGGGTGCGGGGCAGGCATGCAGACTCTCGGGTCAGGTGGCCCGGCTACAGGCTGTGTGACTTTGGGCAGCTGAATTCACCTCTCTGTGCTTCCCTTCCTCCTCTACAGAGCGGGATGATATAGTTAGTGCCTCTAGAGCAGGGTTTCTCGACAGAGGTGCTACTCACATTTGGGGCCGGATGGTTCTGTGCTGGGGGGGCTTCTTTGGGCATCTTAGGAGGCTGCACCGAATCTCTGGTCTCTCCACCCTGTATGATGTCAGGAGCAACGCCCCCTTCCCCTATTAGGACAACCAAAAGTGTCTCCAGACATTGCCAACTGTCCCCTGGGGGTGGGGGGCGGACGTGCCCAGGGGATTACCAGCGCTCTCCACTGGCGGTTTTCAATCTTGGGCTTGCCTGCATCCGAATCACCTGGAGGACTCCTTAAAAACACAGATTTCGGGCGCCTCCCCTCCGCCACCCCCCCCCCCCCCCACTGCTCCCACTCAGCCAGCTGGGGATGGGGCCTGAGAATTGGCATTTCTAGCTAGCTCCCGGCCAATGCCGGTGCTGCCGGTCCGGGGACCACACTTGGGAGAATCACTACCGTGGAGACTGGGGCTGTCTTGGAGCGCGTCTACCATCCCTCCCGGCTTTGTTTGGGGGTTCAGCGAGATCAAGGTGCCCTGGCACGTAACAGAAGCAGCGCTCCGTAAACGTTAGCTGTCGTTTATTGTCGTCATTGCTCATTTTAACCATATTTCATCGACTCTAAGGTGCCACCGACGAAAAGAAGCATCCTAATAGACATGTGAAAAGATATGCGTCTTAGAACCCATGAAATACAGTAGAGGGGTCCAGTCAAACCCACCGAGCTTGGCTCCCCACCACTGAGTCAGGCCTGAGGATGCTTCGCCGAGCCCTGGGCTCCGGGGGGACAGCCCTGGAATGGAGGAAGCCGGGGCTACATGAGGTTGTCGAGGGCCTCTGGCCATTTAATGGGGGGGAGGGGGGGAGGCGGGGGGCTCGGGGCGCAGCGGAGCCAGGACACCAGTCCCGGGCCCTGCCCTTCGGGTTGGTCACAGCAGATATGGGAGCAGCTGCAGCATGCCCAGTGCCAGGCCGGCGGCGACCCCTTCCATCTGGCTGCCTGCGGGATTGGGGGCCCCATTACACATGTGGCCGTAGCAGCAGGTGGAGGTGAGCGTGTAGGTGACGCCCATGTAGGTGACCAGCTCCTCGTGGCCGCAGGACGTGGACACCAGGCAGCCTTTGTTGAGGACAGGGCTGAGGCCCGGGGACACCCCGTGGCCCGTGAAGCAATCCTCATCGTCGCCACAGCGCATGTGGATGCCCGGGCACTGCTTAGAGTCAGTCAGCTCACAGAACACGCAGTCCTTGGTGCCCGTGGTGCCCAGGGGCAGAGCCATTACCAGAAGCAACAGCCAGCCGAGGACCATGGTGGCCTGGCGGCGGGGACGGTGCCCAAGCCAGGCCGTGGGCTTCCTGGGCCTCCCGGAACTGCTGAATGACGCTCCTGAGGCCCACGAGACTTTTGCCCCTGGTCTGGGCCTCCCAGGGTCAGCGCTCGGACGGTCCTCGGTTCCCAACGCCCCGGGTCCCTCGTGGGAGCTCCATGCACTCTTTGTGGAGCGGAATGGGGTGACCTCACAGACCCCTCGGGGCTCCCACTGGCCACTCCAGGGGTGAGGTCACAGGTGGGGGGGAGGGGTGTCACAATCTGCGGGCAGACAGGCCCGCCAACCTGCCAGGGGGCGAGGACGCTGCCACCCCGCCAAGGTAAGGACACTTGGACCAACACTCACCATCCTGGTGGCTGATGCATCAGTTCTCCGGGCGCTGGGCCCATTTTTCAGATGGGCAAACGAAGGCTCAGGAAGGGAAGGTGACGTGGCCAAGGTCCCCAGAGCCAGGATGAGAGCCCAGGTTCATTTAATTCCCAAGAGCACCTGCTGTGTGCCCAGACCTTAAAGCTAGATGCTTTAAATACCAGCACTGTGACGACAGGACCGTAGGGGACCTGCTCTGCACAGCCAGCTGGGTGCGGGCCGGGCGCCATGCAGGCAGCTCAACCCTTTGTCCTCTCTTTCCAATCTTCCTCCATCTTAGCTCCGTATCGCAGATGAGCAAACTGAGGCTCGGAGCAGGCACATCCAGAGCCCGCCACACGGCAAGTGTTTAATAAGTGGCAGTCATTACATAGGAAGCAGCTGAGTCTTAAGACAGGCCTTGTGGGAGTCAGAAGACTAATCCCACCTCTTTTCAGAGAGGGAAACTGAGGCACTGATGCCTCCTTTGCTGGGGATGGGGCAGCGTCCCGGTATAAGCTCAGGCCGGCTTCCAGATGATAATTTAAGTATCTTAACTTGTTGTCACATCAGCCCTCGGGTAGGTACCTAGGTGGTTCTCATTCTACAGAGGGGGATGTTGAAGCCAGAGAGGTTGCAGGACCTGCCCGAGGTCACACAGCCTGCCCTGGGACCAGGTGGGGACTGGTAATGGGGTCCAGGCCGGGTTCCCTGGGGCGGCACGGAGATCCTGACCCCTCACTGCGTGCCCCTCAGCTTCACGTGGAGTGACTCTCGCCTGCACCGCGGTCTGGTGACCCTGCTGACCGGCGAGATTGCCGATGCCTTCAGCCGAGAGTTCCGGACACTGTATGCGGCCTCCTGGCCGCTCCCGTCCGCACCCACCCGGGGCCCCTTCGTCAGCACCTTGGGGGGGTTGCAGCTGGCTCACAACCCCCACCGCGTGGCCCGCCGCCGCTCTGTGGCCCCCATGTCACCGCCGCCACCTGACGGCCCACTGGCCCGACGCTTGGCTGCCTGCCGGGTCTTTGAGGGGGACAGGCAGGAGACCCCGGCCGCCCCAGGGCCGGCGCTGAGCGACATCCTGAGGAGTGTCCAGCGCGCCCGGACTCCCAGCAGCACCCCGGCCCGGGCCAGCCGCTCCCTGTGGGACCTGAGTCGCCTGTCCCAGCTGTCTGGCTCCAGCGACGGTGACAGTGAGGTGAGAACTGGTGGCTGGCCTCAGAGAAACAAGAGGAAGAGGATGGGGCAGCTGAGGGCCTACTATGTGCCTGGGCCCAGGCCGGGGCTGGGGGTGGAGGTGGGGTAAGCAAAAGCGCCCACCTGAATTCATGATCCCAGCGACCATTTCCTATAGTCCTACTGCGTGCTGGGCAAGGGAGTGCTGGGTGGCTGGGGGCAGGGACCCCGAGAGCCACCCTGGGTGCAAATCCTGGCATGACCCACTAATGGGGAGAGCTGGGCAGACATCTGCCTTCTCTGAACCCTCCGTGTTCTCATCTAGCGAATGGGTGCAGCAGTTGTCCCCAGTCTCGGTTTGGTGGGAAGGAGAAGTCAGTGAGGGGAGGATGAACTAACTAGAACATTAAGCATTACAACAAATCCCCACGGTGGAATTTATTTGTATTTCTTTCGCGAGATCCTCATCCCAGGTCAGTGAGGTAATTCTCTTTTCTCACTCGTGGTCACAGATGGGAAAGCTGAGGCTCGGAGAGGTCAAGTAACTTGCCCAAGGTCAAAACCACCATCTCTTGTGGGCACCGTGCCACATGCCAGGGGCTCTCACAGAGGTGGTTGAATTGGATCTTTGCCAAAACCCTCTGAGGTTACGAGCCTCCGCCCACCCGTTTCACAGATGAGGAAACTGAGGCACAAGGGAGCGATCAGAACTCGGCCCTCGTGGCCTCGCCGGTGCAGCTTTTAAACGCTCTGCCCCTGGCTTCCCAGATTCGAGCGTCGTCCGGGTGTTGCGGAGGGGGTTTGGCGAGCTCTAAGGGGTCTCTGTGCCCCTCCTCTCGGCTGCTGAGACGCTGGGGTTCCCACGGAGCCCGCCCTAATTCTCTGGGACCCTGGGCGGAGCCTCTGTGCCCTCAGCTGTAAAATGGGCTGTCGACAGGGTGAGAGCAGAGCCATGTGGGACAAGCAGGCGGCCTCGCCCTGCGTGCCGGCAGACCCGGGGTACAGGTTCTCTGTGACCTGTGCCCCTCTCGGGCTCAGTTTCCCCATCTGCTACGTGGGACCTAGTGGGGACCTTTTCCGAGGGTGAGGGAGGAATGTCCCAGGAATTGCCTCCCTCAGTTCCAGGCCAGGGGGGAAGGGGGATGGGCAGCGCAGGGGCAAGGTCCTCTCGCCTCCACCCGGTCCTGAGCCGCCCTCACCCACCATCACCTCCCTTGGCAAATATTTGCTCCCCCCAGGCAGTTGCTGACAGCTTCCTGTTCCTCCCCAACTGCAAAGCTGCAGGGGGGAACACAGCAGCTGGCCCTCTGAGGGTCTGGGGGCCCCAGGCCTCCCGGATCACTTCCCTTCCCCATTCTGGAGGCTCAGGGGCCTTCTCACCTCCCCTGAGAGTCACACACACACACACACACACACCCTTCCTGGACTCAGTCCCCCGAGCCTTCTCTCACCTCCCTCTCTTTCCCTCCACAGCTCAAGAAGTCCTGGGACTCCAAGGACACCCCAGCCAAGGCCCTGATGAGGCAGCGGGGCACCGGAGGGGCTCCCAGGGGTGAGACCGAAGCCCGTCCTCTGGGCCGGTCCCAGCCCCGGGGCGGCCCCCTGCCCCTCCTCCCTGCACGCCGCCTCCGCTATCTGTCCCCGACCAGAAGGAGGTTTGGTGAAGATGCTGCTTCCAAACTCCTGGGACCCCGAGGCTTCCAGCAGCCAGACCGGGCCGCCCAGGCAGGACTCAAGGGGCGACCGTGACAGGAGCCAAAGCTGCATGGGGCCGGCCTCTCGACCCGCAGCTCCAAGCCCCCTGCCTCCGAGTCGAGGCGTGGACAAGGCTTCTGGCCTGGGTATCTGTCTGGAAATCGGAAGGGGTTTTTTTCTCTTTGTTCTAGAACCTGGGCAAGCCCAGTGCTCACTCTAGAGGCCAGTGTCACAGTTTAGGAAATGGGCAGAAAGCCTCCAGTAGCTGGGATCCTAGAACAGCATATCCTACTTCTCTGCGGACTGGCCTGGCTGAATGGCCCGGGTGCTGGAATTGTGTGGGGTGAAGGTGGGGAGTCCGTGGGACAAAGTGGGGCAGCTTCCGGTACCCACCACGCTCAGGAGCTGTGGGGAAACAGCTTGGCAAGGGAGAGGACAGAATCCAATCGAGGGAGTGGGGCTGAATAATGAGGGCCTGGAAATTGGTGGGGGTCAGGGCCAGGGGGGCTGGGACTGTTTTGCGGGTGCTAAGCGCTGAGTTGCTGGGGGCTCCCTTTCCCTCTGCTCAGAATAAAGCTGCTTGATGCCAGAATCTTGCAGTTCCAGAGCCTAGCAGAAGACCCAGGAATGCAGTTCTGGCCCCCTCCTCCCTCACACCCAGGAGGGCCTCGCCGCAGCGCCCCGGCCCTGAGGGGAGGCAGGTGCTCAGCGCTTGCCTTCCCGCAGCACCTTCGCCTCCGGCGGGGGCTTCTGAGTCACCGACCCCACTGGCGTGCGGGGTGGGGAAGAAGACCTCGTCTTCTCCGGGGGCCCTGGGTGCGCGGCGCGTCCCCACCCCAGCCTCCGCCTCCCTCGCGCGCCCCCTGCCGGCCGCCCGCGGCAAGCCACCTCCAGAGCGCAGCGAGAGCCGGGGCAGGAGCGCTGCGTTTATTCTCAGAGTCACGGGTTGGGGGGCTCGGGGGCCTCGGGGGGGCTGGGGCTGGGATCGGGGTCCGGGCTGGCGTCCTCGGGGACGTCCCAGGGGAAGGTGGGCAGCCCCCGCATCTGCTCGCGGTAGACACGGTCGAACGCTTCGCTCTGCGCCACCGTGAAGTGGTTCTTCCAGTCACCGCACACGCCTGGAAGGGAGGGAGGGACGGCGAGGTGAGGAGCGTGGGAACCTTCCCCGCCCCCAACATGCCAGCACCCCCTTTCCCACCTGCGGGCCTTTGCCAGAAGCACCTCCCCACCCCTCTTCGTCTCCATGCTGCCCCTTTACCTCCTACGGTGGCCGTTCTGTCCCCAGTCACCTGGCCAGACCCCTGGGCACCCTTTTGCGCCCTCCCTCCCTTGGCTCCCCCCATCCTACCTGTCCCTCCAGTAGACTTGTTGCCTTCCTCTATTTTACCCCGACCCCTTAAATCTCTCTGCCTGGAACATCCGCCTCCCCATCCAGCATTCCTGCCCGTGTGACCGTGTCACTGTGACCCGTCCCTCACCTCCCTGGCTGGAACAGGGCTTCCTCACCCCAGGGCTCCTGCAACACGCTACCTCCATTATGGCTCTGACAGTGTGAATGAATGCTTTCCCACACTCGGTGCCAGGGGACCGGCCGAAGGGCTACCCTGGAGTCGTGGGGTTCACTCTTTAACCCTCGCAGCAACCGAGCAGGCAAGGGGTGTGAACTCTGCCCCTTCCATGTGCCCAGGCAGGTGCGGGGATCCCGCCGAGCCTCACGTTTCTCACTGTCATGGGGCATTAACCTGGAATCCTGGGGCCAATGTCATTTGGATCGCGGCATTTTAAATCTTAGCAAGTGTATACCCCACATATTACATGACGCCCCTCGTGAGATCTGGGACAGCTCCCTGTGGGAGGCTGAATAATCACCCCCTCCCTCCAGATGTCAACCTGTCCTAGTCTTTGGAACCTATGCCTAGGTGACCTTACATGGCAAAAGGGAGTTTGCAGGTGTCATTGTTAAAGACCTGGAGACGGGGAGAGGATCCTGGATTATCCTGGTGGCCCCCATTTAGCCACGAGGGTCTTGATAAGAGGAGGTGGGAGGGTCAGAGTCAGAGATCAGAAGATGCTCTGCTGCTGTTTTCAAGATGAATGGGGGCCACAAGCCAAGCAACGCACATGGGGCTAGAGACTGAAAAGGCAAAGAATGGGTTCTCCCCCTAGAGCCTCAGAAGGAACAATCCCTTGGACACTTCGGTTTTAACCCAGTGACACTGATTTTGGACTTCTGACCCCAGAACCGTGAGAGAATAAACGTGGCTTGTGTGAAGCCGCTAAATTTGTGGTATTTTAGCAGGAATAGGAAGCAGCGCACTCCCACCCTCACCCCGTAATCCAACACTTGAATATTTCTGGGGTGAACACTTCATGCTAAGAAAGATTCGCGAAGGGCGCCTGGGTGGCTCCGTAGGTTAAGCGTCTGCCTTTGGCTCGGGTCATGATCCCAGGGTCCTGGGATCGAGTCCCACATCGGGCTCCCTGCTCAGCGCGGAGCCTGCTTCTCCCTCTGCCTCTCTTTCTCTCTCTCTGTCTGTCTCTTACGAATAAATAAATAAAATCTTAAAAAGAAAGAAAGAAAGATTCACGAAGACACCATAGAGCCTCACAGAGTGTGCCAGGCCCCAGGCTCAGCCCTGTGTGGGGGGTCGGTCCCGGGTCCACAGTGACGCTGGGAAGGCAGTTCTGCCTGGAGCAACCCCATATTTCAGCCGGGAAAACTGAGGCCCAGAGAGGTTACATGACCCGCTCAGGTCACACAGCCAGGCTGTGGCACCCCAGAGCCCCCGCACCTTTCCGGAGGAAGGCACCGTGGCGCTGGTCCAGCAGGCTGGGAGGCAGCAGCGTGAAGTTGGACATGGCGTTGGCCTTCATAGCGCCGAAAGCTGAGTGCGCCACCACGGAGCCCAGCGCCTCCTCACCCAGCGGCCGACCCAGGAATTGGCAGACGCGCTGCACGGAGCCGTGGAGATCCTGCAGGCAGGGGAGAGGGGTCAGGGGGGCCAGGCGGAGGGAGGTGGGACCCCAGGCAAGGAAGGAGCACCAACCAGACCCTGAATCTGGATGTCTGGAGTCCCAACCAGACCTGTCTGGGTGACTCTGCTTCTTTGCCTCAGTTTTCCCACCTCCGAGCTGAGGGATTGGGCTATGGCTTCCGAGTTTTCACAGTTTGGGGTTTGGGAGGGTTCTGCGGGCAGGAGGGAAGGGGTGGAGGCGGGGCAGAGGTCACAGCAGGGAGCAGAGGTTACTCAGGCACCTTATACAGAATCACCCTCACTCGGGTTAGAAGGGGGAGTCAGCCTGTCTGTGCCCCAAATCTGCACCCACCCCCCGGTCCCCATCCCGGAACGGCGACCTCCTTGAGCCAGTCCCAGGCCAGACTCCCAGCCTGGCCTCACCCCTCTGTCTCCCCTGCTCCCACACCCCTGTCAGTCTGTCTCTGCTCATCTCCTCTGGGCTTTCAGCCCTAGCACTGGTCAGGCCTTGTCCTCTCCCTATGGACTCCTTACCCCAGCCTCCTCCCTGGCCTCCCTGCCCCCAGGCCCCCACACCCAGAGCTGCTCCCAGCCCTCCTATGGCTCCCTGGTGCCCAGGGACAGGAGTCCTGGCCACCCTCCAGGCCTGGCTTTCAAGGAGAGAAGTGGTCTGGCCTCCCCCATCCTATCTTTCCAGAATTTACCATTCCCTGCAATTTCCTCCCTGCAGCCTCAGCATGGGGCTGCCAAGAATGCCCCGTGCCACCACCCTCCACCTGGCAAACCTCCCCATCCAGATGCAGCTCAAATATCCACCCCCTCCTGACAACGACAGTTCAAGTCACTGGGGACTGAACACCCCCTGTGTACCAAGCTCTGGTCCAAGCCCCTCATGTATATTTGTAGCAAGCGTGCCAATAGCCCTGCAGAGAGGTGTCCTTACCCCAATCGGTAAAAGGAGGCTCAGAGAGGGGAAGACACTTGTCCAGGGTCACACAGCTAGGGAGGAGCTCAGATTTAAGTGCCCGAAGCCCCACCCCTCCCTGCCCCCTCCTATCTCGCTGCCTTCCCTGAAATGCAATACGCCTTCTGCTCAGCTCTACCAACCCCACGGCTCCGATTTTCCACGTCATTCCTGGTTTCATAACCCTCCATCCCTTTATCGTCTTGAACCACTGGCGTGTCCCAGAAATTCTAACATGTTGGCAGTTCCTCACACCCAGGGGCAGCCCAGAAGCTCTGTCAGGCTGCATGGCCCAGTTTTTGGTTTGGAGAACAAAACTAGATGGAAAAAAAAAAAAGTGGGGGTGGGGGGATGGTAATGCCGAAATCTTCTCTGGATCTTCCAACACCAAGAGATATACCAGGGTGGGAAAACAAACAAACAAACAAAAAACTCAGGTAGGTTGTCAACTCTCTCTAGGTTCCAAACCCCCAGGCTCCTCCTCTCTAAAACGGGGCTAATAACAATATCGGGGTGAACCCTATAAAATGTGGCTCAATACTGGCAATTTTATGTGGTTCGCTCTAATAGGTAACTCACCTGCCCGTACCTGGTGAGGATTAAATGTGATGAACCATATGTGGTATTTGGTGCATGGCCTCTCTCACCCTCAGGGGACATAGGCTCCTATTGTTACTACTAATCAGATAGGCCCTTGCTCAGAACCTAATCACTTTTACTTTACACACTCTATTAACACGCTGGCATATTATTACCATCTGACATCGGGCTCCCTGCTCGGCAAGAAGCCTGCTTCTCCCTCTCCCACTCCCCCTGCTTGTGTTCCTGCTCTCGCTCTCTCTCTCTCTCTGTCAAATAAATAAATAAAATCTTTAAAAATATATATATATATATTTATTTATTTGACAGAGAGAGAGAGAATGAGCAGGGGGTAGGGGTGGAGGAAGAGGGAGAAGTTGACTCCTCTCTGAGCAGGGAGCCTGATGCGGGGCTCGATCCCAAGACCCTGGGATCATGACCTGAGCCGAAGGTGGACGCTTAACTGCTTTACCAACTGAGCCACCCAGGCACACCCTTTCCCACCCATTTTAAGGATGAGATGTCTGAGGCTCTGAGAGACTTTAGGGGATTTTTTAAAGTAGGCTCCATGCTGGGCTCGAACTCACGACCCTGAGATCAAGACCCGAGCTGAGATTAAGAGTCGGATGCCCAACTAACTGAGCCACCCAGGCACCCCAACATTTTAGGGGATTTTAACTGTTTTATTGGACATAAAAATTCAGGTGTTTCCCACTCCATAAAGTACTGACAGAAAGAATACAACACATACATGAAACACACAAGAAGGGAACATGTCTGGGGAGCTTAGTGAAGGGGCATATAATGGGAGCTTCTCAGGTACCCAACCTCTGGGAACATCTTTGTTAAGAATCTAGAATGGGGCACCTGGGTGGCCCAGTCAGTTAAGCGTCTGTCTTCGGCTCAGGGTCCTGGGATCGAGCCCCGCATTGGGCTCCCTGCTCAGTGGATGGTCTGCTTCTCCGTCTGCCCCCCGCCCCCCCATGCTCTCTCTCTCAAATAAAGAAATAAAATCTTAAAAAAAAAAAGTGTTTGCTAAAACAGAAAAAAAGGATCTAGAATGGCTGGTTATGTTCACTGTGGGTTGTCCCTCTAGAAGCCCAGCATCCTCCTTACAGCCCAGCAAAGCAGTGGGCATTCTGCATGGCACCTTCTTCCAGGGAGCTCTCCCTGATTGCCCCAGCCAGAAGGCATTTTCCTCTCCCGGGTGCCTGCTCCAGGGACTTTTGATGGGGTCCAGACAGGATCCCCATCTACCTCCAAAGGCTGTTTCCTTCCGCCGCTCCCCTCTGCCCTTCAGGTCACAGCCATCACTGAAGCTCACTTCCCACGTGCTGCAGTTCCGCATGACCTCATCTATCCTATCTCCTCTCCTGCTCAGGGCCCACCGGGGGCTTCCACCTACTCAGAGACAAGCCAAGGTCCTCCCCGTGCCTCCTATCCCCTCTCTGCCCACATTTCCCACCCCCACCCCGCCTCAGTCGGCTCTGGCCACATGGGCTTCTTTGCTCCCCTAGGAACACATCAAGCATGCTCTCATCTCAGGGCCTTTGCACGGGCTTTCCGGGACACTTTCCCCCCAGATATCTCCAGGGCTCCTCCTTCTCCTTCAGATCTTTGCTTAAGTGTCATCTTCCCCCCAGAGGCCTCCCTGACCACCCTATTTAAAACTGCGCCCCCACACATTCCTTATCCTCAGCTTCTATTCGGCTTGCCTTTTCTCCTTCGCTCTGCTCTCCAGCTGCCATCTATTTCATTTCTTTGTCCATGCCCCTTCTGCTGCTCAGGGGCTCAGGACCCTGCTCCGTTCACCACTGTGCCCCCAGTACCTGGTGCATTAGGCAGCAGAGCAGGCCTCGCGGGAAGGGAAGCGGGTATGAGGAGGGGAGGAGTGGAGGACGCTGGGCCGGAGTGGGGTGGGGGTGGGGGTGGGGCGGGGGGGGGAATCACCTGCTGCAGCTCCTCATAGGTGATAAACAGGAAATTCTCTTTGCCCTGCATCCGAATCCAGCCCTTAATGTGGTCGAACCAGGAGCCAAACTGCACTGCGGGCAGAGGGGCAGGCGGATGAGGTCCGGGCAGCAAAACCACCTCCGCTGGGGCTCGGGGCTCAGGGGGGCCTCACTGGCCCCATGTGGCCCCGGGCCTGGCCCCTCAGAGCTGGACGCCTCCCCCAAACCCCCCACACCTGGCACTCTGAAAACCCCTGTCTCCCCATCTCTCTGTTTCTGTCCCTTTTCTGCATCTCTGTCTCTCTCTTTTTGTTTCTCTCTTCTCTGTCTCTCTGTATCTATGTGTCTGTCTGTCTGTTTCCTTCTCTCTATTCCCCTGTCTCCTTCACTGTGAGTAACGCCCTGTATCTCTGCCTCTCTCTCCTTCGTACCCCTCCCCTGCCCCCTTCTTGGCTGGGTCCCCAAGGGGCTCCCCCCATCTCACTTTGCCCCAGTCCTCACCTTCGCCTTTGAGAAAGTTCTGCAGGAACTGGTCAGGCGTGCCGGGGTCCTTCAACTGCCCAGCAATCTTGGAGTAATGATAGAGCGAGACCACCACGTCCCGGGGGTTCCGGCCCATGTAGATCACCTGTGTGTGGATGTTGGTGAGGAGGCCAGAAGCTGTCAGACACAGGCAGGACCCCAGCCCCGAAGACTGCATGTCCCCAAGCCTTCTCTCTTCTGATCCTACAGCAGGAAGGACTCAGAGTTGACTTCTCAGGGGACTGCCCCGCTAAGCTTAGATCAGTTCACCTCATCCCAGCGGATGGGGAGAGCTCCCTGCAACCACATTCCAGGAGGAGAGTGGGACTGTTCCTGGACTAGGCAGAGTGACAGTTTGGCTTCAGGGAATAAAGACTGAAGGAAGAAGGCATGGGACTCAGGATGGAGGAGATCAGGGTGAGAGATGTTGACCCTCCTTCCTATTCCCATAGCCAAGGCCTTAACTCATCTGTTCCTGCCTGGTCCTTCACCAGAGCCTCTTCCCCAGCCTCCTAGCCTCCACATGGCCCCAGAAGGTCCTTCTATACCCAGAGCTGACCCTGCCTTCTTCCACTCTCCAGCACCCCAGGGAAGAGTCCCAGCCCCTGGGCCTGGCATTCAAGGCCCCGATCACCTGGCTCCACTCTGTTTACCTGCTTCATATTCCACAACCAAGCCCACTCCAGCCCCATTGGATATGTCCTTCCCTGGCAACTGTCTCCTTCCCCAAGACTATGGTCAGCCACTCACTTCCTTCGTGATCCCACCAGTCTCCTGGCTTTAACGACTCCATCCATCTCTATCGACCAGCCAATTACAGATACGCATGTCCATCCCAGATCTGTCCTATCAAATCCCAATTCAGTTATCTCCCTGCCCACTGGCAACCCCCACCCGGACACCTATGGGCCATGACAGAGCTCCCACTTTCCCCTGAACCTCCCCATCTCGCCGCCCCCCATCCCAGGTGACAGCAGCCTCATCCTCCCAGCAGCTTAAGCCAAACACCGTGGAGTCACCCTTGATTCATCTGTCTGACACCCACACCCAATCTGTCAGTTAATCTGACTACTGGTTCCACCTTCAAAATACACCCCAAACGTAGCCTGCTTCCTTCACCTCCACTGCCACCACCCTGGTCTCGTCCAATGTCGCCTCCCACCTGGACTACCTGCCCTTACCCCCACGGTCTGTCCCCCACCTTGCGTCCAGAGGGCGCCTGTGGAAACCTAAGTCGGCTCCTATTTCTCTGCTCAGAGCCCTGCCCTGGCTCATGTCCCTCAGGGGACAAGTGAAGTTCCCACCCTAGCCCACGCAGCCCTGCACAGTTGGGAGCCTGTTACCTCCCTGACCTCATCTCTACTCCTCTCCCCCTCATTCAGTTGGCTCTGGCCACACAGGCTTCCTTGCCAGCCTCAGGCATGCCACACTCACCCCAGGGCCTTTGCACCTGCCCTTCCCTGTGCCTGGAATGTTCTTCCCCCAGACACCCCCACACTCTGCTCCTTTCTGATGTGAATTTACCACCTTGGCATATTAAAGAGCTTCCTTATCTATTCTCTGCCTGTTACCCCTTAGAATGTGGGCTTACATTGCTATGTGCTTACTAGCTACTGTTCTAGATCAGGGCCAGGCACATAGTAGGTGTTCAATAAATGTGCTGAACCCATCAGTCAGGGAGAGTCAGCTCTCCCCCACCCCAACACCCCTCCCGCCTCCTGCACCTTGGCCTTGGAGTTGAAGAAGGCTTTGGTGAAGAGCTGGATGGGGAGGTGGGAACTCATGAGGCGGGGGCTGGGCTGGTCCGAGAGGCTGAAGGCACCCATGATGGTCTCACACCAGGGTGCCCGCTTCCAGATGGGCACCGAGCGGATCCAGGATGGGTCCCCGTCCTTTAGGATTAAGCTGAGGATCTCAATCATCCAGTTGGTGCCTGTCAGGAGATATTGGGCAAATTAATCGAAGATGCGGCGGGGTGGAGGGGAGGCCAGAGAGAACCAGAGTCAGATTTCTCAGACTCCTCACAGCCGGCCAGCCAGCGGAGAAGCTAGGCCTGCTTATCAGGATTTTCAGAGCAGGGACTCAAGGCTCAAAGAAACAAAGTCGGCGGCCAAGGTGGCGAAGCTAGGAAGTGGCCCGCGTGGCAGAGACTGGCTTGCTGCCCTCCCAACCCCATTTCATCTCCCTACCAGGAATATGACGGGACCACATTTCCCTAGCCTCCCCTGCAGCTACATGTGGGGCCATGTGACCGAATTCTGGCCAAGTGCAGTGATATGCAGCCATTTCCAGGCCTGGCCCATAAACACCTCCTACGTGTCCCTCCCCCTTCCCTCTCCGCTGGCTGGATGCGGGGACGCCCCTGGAAACTGGGGCTCCCGGGGATGGCAGAGCCATATGATGGAAAGAGCCAGAATGCCTGAGACTGCATGGATTTCCCCCCACGTCCCTCCACGCATCCTGCACCGACCGGAGTTTAAAGGAATGACAAATAAGCTTCTAGTAGGCTCCGTGGCTGGGATTCTGAGGCTTATGTGTGAGGCAGAAGCATTCCGCTAGTACATACAAGAAGCTGGAATTAAATCCAGACGTCTGGGCTTAAAAACCTCAGCTCCTTTCACTGCCTTTTCTCGGGAGTCACCCCTTGATTTCTGGGGGGAGTCACAAATGTCATGTAGCAGGAAGGGACCTTATCAATGACCCGGTTCTCAGGTCCGGATTCCAGGAGACTGTAGGCAAGTCAGATGAGAAATAATAATAATAATAATAATAATAATAATAATAATAATAATAATGTTAACAGTGACCTATTATTAGTATTATATTGCCCTGGATTCTCTGTTTTGTTGTTTTGTTTGTCTGGTTTTTTTTAAAGATTTTATTTATTTATTTGACAGAAAGAGAGAGCACAAGCAGGGGGAGCTGCAGACACAGGCAGAGGGAGAAACAGGCTCCTCCACGAGCAGGGAGCCCCATGCGGGGCTCCTTGTGGGGCTCGATTTTAGGACCCCGGGATCATGACCTCGGCCGAAGACAGACGTTTCACCTTCACCGACTGAGCCACCCAGGCGCCCCTATTTTTAAGTCATCTCTGCGACCAAAGTGGGGCTCGAACCCACGACGCCCAGATCAAGAGTCTCATTCTCCACCAACTGAACCAGTCGGGCGCCCCTATATTGCCCTGGATTCTAACAATAACCCTGCCCCGTTTTTTGTTTTTGTTTTTGTTTTTGTTTTTTTTTTTAAGATTTTATTTATTTGACAGAGAGAAAGACAGCCAGAGAGGGAACATAAGCAGGGGGAGTGGGAGAGGGAGAAGCAGGCTTCCCGTGGAGCAGGGAGCCCGATGCGGGGCTCGATCCCAGGACCCTGGGATCATGACCTGAGCCGAAGGCAGACGCCTAACGACCGAGCCGCCCAGGCGCCCCCCTGCCCCGGTTCTTGCACTGCCTCTGCCTCCGAATCCACTCTCCGGTGCCCTGTTCTGGGCGTTGGCAGCCGGACCCTGTGAACAGTTCTCCTCCGGCGCCTGGCGCAATGATAACCTCCGCCAGTAGAGGGCGCCAGAGGAGCCCTCGGGAGGATGGGCTTCCCTTCCCGGCTCTCGCCCGCTCCTCTCGCCCGCTGGCTCCGGTGATGGCCCGCGGCCGGCAGTGCCCTGGACACCCAGCGACAGCGACACTTTCTGCCCCCCGCGGCCCCAGCAGATTTCCCTGGGCGCTCTGCTTTCCGCCCAGGGGGAGTGGCCGGCTGATCCCTGTATGAGCTCTTCCTGTATCCCCTGGGGTTCTCCTTACCCCCTTAGTGGTTTGATCCTCCGTGACTAGCTCACAAATTCTTTTCTAAAATACGCCTAACGTAAAACTTACCGATGTAACCATTTTTAAAGGGTCCAGCTCAGTGGCATGAAATGCATTCAGGTTGTTGTGCAACCATCACCATCCGGCTCAAACCTGCTTTGAACGAAACCTGCTGCTCAGGGAAGAGGTTTCTACAACTCTGATGAAGGGAAATTTGGCAATGGCCATCAAAATCGCATATTCACAGACCCTTTGGCCACGCAATTCCATATCTAGGAGTTTTTTCTGCAGATCAAGGCATTTTTTTTTAAAGATTTTATTTATTTATTTGAGAGAGAGAGAATGAGAGAGCACATGAGAGGGGGGAGGGTCTGAGGGAGAAGCAGAGTCCCTGCCGAGCAGGGGCCCGATGCGGGACTCGATCCAGGGACTCCAGGATCATGACCTGAGCCGAAGGCAGTCGCCCAACCAACTGAGCCACCAGATCAAGGCATTAAGTGTGCAAGTGCTATATGCCCTGGAGGCAACATTGTATATAAAGTTTAAATCGTGTTCAAAGTGTACATTGTGTATAAAGTTTACATTGTGTTTAAAGGCAAAGGTTGAAAACTAGTAAATACTTATCAGTCAGGAACTGTTTAAACAAGAATTCCTGTACATCCAATGTTATGGAATACTATGGAACCGTAAACAAACAAATAAACAAACAAAGAAGTTCTTTGTCTACAGTCCTAAGATGGGATGATGTCAAGATACAAAGAAAAAGGGGCGCCTGGGTGGCTCAGTCAGTTAAACGTCTGACTCTTGATTTTGGCTTAGATCATGATCTTGAGGACATGAGATCGAGCCCCACGTTGGGGGATTAAGATTCTCTCCCTCTCTCCCCTAAACAAATGCAAGGGAAAAGAAAGCATAAATATACACAAAACCACGATACAGAATGGTGTGGGTAGTGTGTGAACTGTGGTGGGAAAAAGTGAAAATATATTTATGCACATTTCTGCTTGGACGTGCAAATTCTGGAAGGATACACAGGGACTCTTGGTGACTGCAGTAGGAGAGAGAGATCTTTCGGTGCAAACCCTTTGTACCTCTTGAGCTTCTGAACTATGAATTCATTACTTCTTAAGAAAAAAATCAATACATTTCAAATTAAAGAAAGAAGCTGAACTAATTGGATGTCCATGGGCAAAGAACCTCACACTATACCTCATCCCATATACTAGAATTATCTTAAAATCGATGATAGATTTAAGTTTAAAATCTAAGATCATAAAACTTCTACAGGGAAACACAAAGGCTGTTTTTACGACCTGGGGTTAAGCAAAGATTTCTTAGCTATGATATCAAAATCTGACCCATTAAAGAACACATTAACAAGTTGAATTCCATCAAAATTAGATTTCTGCTTTGAGAAGACACTGGAGAGGTAAGTCACAGATGGAGAGAAAGTATTTGCAAAAGGCAAATCTGATAAAGGGTTTGTACTCAGATTATATAAAGAATCTCGGGGTGCTTGGCTGACTCAGTTGGAAGAGCATCTGACTTTTTTTTTAAAGATTTTATTTATTTACTTGAGAGAGAGAATGAGACAGAGAGAGAGAGCACGAGATGGGGGAGGGTCAGAGGGAGAAGCAGGCTCCCCGCCGAGCAGGGAGCCCGATGTGGGACTCGATCCCGGGACTCCAGGATCATGACCTGAGCCGAAGGCAGTCGCTTAACCAACTGAGCCACCCAGGCGCCCAAGCATGACTCTTGATCTCAGAGTCATGAGTTCAAGCCCCACGCTGGGCGTGGAGCCTAATTAAAAAAAAAAAAAAAAGAACTCTCTCGAAACTCAATAATGAGAAAACAAATGGTTTTGATTACAAAATGGGGGAAAGACTTGAACAGACACTTTATCAAAGAAGATATGTGATTGGCCAATGAGCCAATGGAAAGATGCTCCACATCATTAGCCACCAGGGAAATGCAAATTAAAACCACAGTGAGATAGCAATACATACCTGTTAGAACGGCTTAAAAACCAATCAAACAAACAAAAAACCCTGACAATCCCAAGTGTTGGCAAGGAACACTCGGTTGGCAAGCTCACCGATGTTGCTGGTGAGAATGCAAAATGGTAAAGCCATTTTGGAAAAAGAGCTTGGCAATTTCTCATAAAGTTAAGCAAACCTACTTCCCGTAGACTCTGCAATCTCACTTCTGAGTATTTACCCAAGAAAAATGAAAACATATTTCCATGCATGGACTTGAATGCAAAGCCGCATAACAGTTGCATTCATAGCCATCCCAATCTGGACACAATCCAAACGTCCTTCAATAGATGAATGGATAAACCATGGTCCATCCATAGAAAAGAATACTCCCCAGCAGTAAAAAACAAAACAAAACAACAACAACAACAACAACAACAACAAAAAACCACAACAGCTTGGGTGAATCCAAAGTATATTACACTGAATGAAAGAAGTCAGTCTCAGGGGTGCCTGGGTGGCTCAGTCCATTAAGCGTCTGCCTTTGGCTCAGGTCATGATCCCAGCATCCTGGGATCGAGCCCCGCAATGGGTTCCCTGCTCGCGTAGGAAGCCTGCTTCTCCCTCTCCCCGCCTCTCTCTCTCTGTCAAATAAATAAATAAAATCTTAAAAAAAAATAAGAAGTCAGTCTCAAAAGCTGCACATGGTATGGGTCCATCTATGTGACATTTTGGAAAAGGCAAAACTCTAGGGGCCGCAAACAACAATGGTTGTCAGGGGCTGGGGTGAGGGAGGAGATGGCCAGGAAAGTGTGTGAAGGTTTGGGGGCGATGGGGCTGTTCTGTATCTTGGCTGTGATGGTGGTTATAGGACTGTGTGTGTCTCTCAAAACTCAGAACTCTGAGGGAAATGAAAACATATGTCCACATACAGGATGCCCATGTTCCTAGAAGCATTACTCATGACAAAGAGTGCAGACAATCCAAGCATTTATCAACTGATGAATGAGTAAACAGAAAATAGAATGCATGCTATGGAATGGTATTCCACCATAAACGGGAATGAAGGAGCACTGAAGCGTGCTACCACATGGGTGAACCCCAAAAACGTTGTACTAAGTGAAAGAAGCCAGACACACAAAAGATCATGCACTGTAGGGTTCCATTTATATGAAATGTCCAGAACGGGCATATCCATAGAGCCAGAGAGCAGATCAATGATGGCCAAGGCTTAGGGTTGGGGATGTGGGGTTTGGGGAGGGATGGCTAATGGGTATGGGGTTTCTTGTTGGGAGGGTGAAAATGTTCCAGGATGGATTGTGGTGATGGTTGTACAAGTCTGTGAATACACTACTACCAGAGAATTGTACACTTTATTTATTTATTTATTTATTTTTAAAGATTTTATTTATTTATTTGACAGAGAGAGACACAGCGAGAGAGGAAACACAAGCAGGGGGAGTGGGAGAGGGAGAAGCAGGCTTCCCGCGGAGCAGGGAGCCCGATGCGGGGCTCGATCCCAGGACCCTGGGATCATGACCTGAGCCGAAGGCAGACGCTTAACGACTGAGCCACCCAGGCACCCCGAATCGTACACTTTAAAATGGGTAAATCGTATGGTGGGTGAATTATATCTCAAGAAATACCCCTCACAGAACTCTATGCTGAAGAAGGTGAATATCATATTTTGAAATGTTTCAAAAATGTTTTGAAAAAGAAATAAAGTAGTCAATCCCCATCATGTTAGAGACAGAAAAACTGAAGTCTGTCCCTTCTGTCGCTAAAAGCTCCCTGAGGGCCTTGGAGTAAAGTCACCGCAGAGCCTCACCTTGGCTCCATAGGGATGCTTCATCAGCTCATGTGCCCCAGTCTCATCCCTAGCCTCACTGACCTTCTCTTGTTCCCTCAATCTCATTAAGCCTCCCCCGACCCTAGGGTCTTTGCATGTGCTGTTCCTCTGTCTAGGACACACTTTCGCACTCAAACCCCTCTGCAGCTTCCAGGTCTGGACATGAACATCTTCTCCCCCACGAAGCCTGCCCTCATCCCCCAGACCATCTCTTTTGTTACCTACATTCAATGCTCTCTGCACCTTTCCTCAGGGGCACCCACCCCAACCCTAATTATATAGTAACATAAGTGATTGCATATTGAAATAAAGCCCGTGTCTCCCAACAAATTGACAACTGTCTTCCTTATTCACAGCTGTGTCTCCACACACGGCAGATGACCAATAAGCAGCTTTTCAGTGACAGAATGGAGGAAATTAAGAGCATCTCTTTGCCCCTCCCTCCCCGCCTCCTTCCTTTCACCAATATTTACTGAATACTTATTATGTGCCGGGCACTGTTTTAGACTCAAAGAACACAGCGGTGATCCAGACACACTAAACCAGCTGTCCTCAAAGAGCTCATGTTCCAGTGGGGAAACCAGAGAATAAACCAACAAACGAAAACACAATATAGCGGCTGGTGGTGACAGGTGCTCTGAAGGCAAGTAGAGGCCAGTTAAGGGGATGGAGAGGGACAGGGTGGGGAGGTCAGGGAAGGCTTCCCTGGGGACAGGAGAGCCCACCTTGCGGGGGGAGGAGGAAGGAGCGACACCTGGCGGAGGGACCGGCCAGTGCAAAAGCCAAGCTCACGCCCCACCCCCTACCCCCCACCCCCGGGCTCTTTCTGCAGCCCCACCCCCCCTACCCTGCCACCCACCCCGGCTCTTTCCGATTCCCCTTCCCCTCCGCGAGCCCTTCTCAGGCTCTGTGGCCACCACCCCAGCCGCCCCGCCCAGCAGGTACCTGACTTGGGGTAGGTGATGATGAAGATGTCGTCGTCCTGCACATCAGCGTTCTCTACTATGCGGATGCTCTCGGGTGAGTAGATGCCGACGGGGAAAGGGATGCCCTTGTACCTGAAGTATTCGCCTGACAACTTCTGGCTGTAGGAGTGTGAGGGAGACACCATGAGGACCAGTGGGGGGTGTGTGTGAGGACAGGAGTCACTCCTGGAGGGTTGGGGAGGGGGCAGAGGAATCTCAGGGCAGGAGGGAGGGTGAGCAAGAGGTAGGTGAGGGGCGCCCCACTCGCTGGTGGAACCCTGGCAACAAACTTTCCCTGAGGCCCATTTCTTCATCTGCAAGGTGGGAATGGTTTACCCAAACCCCACAACAATCCTATGAAGTCACGACGATTATTAGCCCCCTTTTATGAATGAAGAAAGCGAAGCACAGAGAGGTTGAGTGACTTTCCCAAAGCCACACAGATGGAGCACTTCCCATCTGTAAAGTGGGGCTGAGCGCTTTCCTCACATTGACTCTTTGCCCCAACCCTTGAGGAAGAGGCTAAGCCACCACCCCATTTTACCAACAAGGAAACCGAGGCCACAGAAGCTATGTGCCCTGCCCACTCCTTCCTGCAAGGCCACAGAATGGCAGAGCCCGCCTGTGAAACCCAGCCCAGGGTCACCATGAAGCTGAAACAGTTTTGTTGGCTTTTTTTTTTTTTAAGATTTTATTTTTAAGGGACGCCTGGGTGGCTCAGTCGGTTAAGCGTCTGCCTTCGGCTCAGGTCATGAGCCCGGGACCCTGGGATCGAGCCCCGCATCGGGCTCCCTGCTTGGTGAGGAGCCTGCTTCTTCCTCTCCTTCTGCCCGTGCTCATGCACACACACACTCTCTCTCTCTGTCAAATAAATAAAATCTTTAAAAAAAATTTTTTTTGTGTGTGTTTAAGTAATCTACACCCAATGTGGGGCTCGAACTTACAACCCTGAGATCGAGAGTTGCCTGCTCTACCTGCTGAGCCAGCCAGGTGCCCCGAAGCTGAAATAGTCTCGAGGTTCAAGCCCCTCACTTGAGCTGCCTTTCCAAAACCCCCACGATGGGTCCACAAAGCCATACACGGAAGTAAAATTTTCCAAAGTGAGATGTTCTAAGAGCAATCCATTCAATCCGCTGTATCTTTCCATGACGGCCTCCCCCGGGGATCTCCTGCCCCTGGCGCATGGGAGAGGGGTGGGTACTGGGGGGCCCTGGCTAAGGTGAAGTGGAGGTGGGGAGACATTTTCCTGAACTTCCCCCCCGGGCATTTATGGGGTCCACGGTCACGCCCGTCCATGCATGGCTGTGTTCCCACTAGGTGGCTGGTGGCAGGAATTCGCAGGAGTGACATCACATGACTTGTCCTAGGGCACTTGACACAGAAAGTATGAGGTGGAGGAGGAGATGCAGGTCTGAAGTGTATGAAGCCAGAAGCTGGTCTGTGTCACTTTTCTGGAATGTGTGGAGGGTTTGTCAGCGTTCAAAATGAGGCAAGTTGCTATAATTCTCTTTTCATCCTAAATAAACATCCCCTCTCCCTACGGCCGGAGTCACACGCGTTGGCGCTTTTCCTTCAGGAGAACCCCCCTCACCATGGTACAAGCTTCCGGCCCCACAGAATCGGATCTGCCCATCCTGAGCCGCCACGCTGGGCTACTTTCCATTTGTGCCTCGTTATAGTACACTGAGGACAACCCACTGAACCGGGGGGCAAAGAAAGTATGTGTGTAAGTAGGTTATATCGTCTGTGGATTTCACTTCGGGATGGCGAAGAGGCTCTTACTAATATTCTGTTATATAAAGAGGGTTGGAGACCACACAGACGAAACTCAGAAACACAACATTGAGTGAAGGACGGGCCGCAAGAGGGTCCGGACCCCATGATTTCAATTATGAGAAGTTCAAATACAGGAAATGTGCTAGAAGGTGCTAGAAGGTGCTAGAAGGCGGGATGGCAGTTATCGTTGAGGGTTTGGAGGACTGTGATGTGGGGGCTGGTATAGAAGCTAGAGAACTGTGTACCCTCCACCTCGGGTCGCTGGAGGGCTCTGAGGAGCCCAGGGGAGGCTCAGCCAGCCGGGGTCTCCCAGGGGCAGTGTCCCGAGGTGGACCAGGAAGGGGCTGTGGGAGAAACTGGCCAAGGCCCCTTTATCTCTGACTGGGGGTTGTTTCCGTGGTGATAGGGAGGGAGGGCTGGTCACCTCACAGGTTGTGGGGTTGCTTTGCAGGCCCCGAGTAACCACAGTGCTGCAGGCCTGGGGAAGAGCGCAGCCCTGGGGCTGGACATGGCTTTGGCACTTCCTATTGGAGCTGAGGCCCAGTACTTCGTCGCTCTGTGCCTCAGTTTCTTCAACGGTAAAAGGGAGACAGGGGAGGGCGCCTGGGTGGCTCAGTTGGTTAAGCGACTGCCTTCGGCTCAGGTCATGATCCTGGAGTCCCGGGATCGAGTCCCGCATCGGGCTCCCTGCTCGGCGGGGGGCTGCTTCTCCCTCTGACCCTCTTCCCTCTCTTGCTATCTGTCTCTCATTCTCTCTCTCTCAAATAAATAAATAAAATCTTTAAAAAATGATATTAAAAGGGAGACAAGGGAAGTAACAATGTCTTGATGAAGGGCATAAACTCTGAAGCCAGAATATGGGGGTTTGAATTCTGTGTCCCACCAGCTGTGTGGCGTCGGGCAAACCAACCGACCTCTCTGTGCCTCCTCAGTTTTTTATCCATAAAATGGGGGTAGTAAGAATCAGTACCTTGGGGCACCTGGGTGGCTCAGTTGGTTAAGCGACTGCCTTCGGCTCAGGTCATGATCCTGGAGTCCCTGGATCGAGTCCCGCATCGGGCCCCTGCTCGGCAGGGAGTCTGCTTCTCCCTCTGACCCTAACCCCTCTCATGTGCTCTCTCTCATTCTCTCTCTCTCAAATTAATAAATAAAATCTTAAAAAAAAAAAAAAAGAATTGGTATCTCCTAAGCTTGTCGTGAGCACGTAAGAAGTACTTGAACTCACGACCCCGAGATCAAGAGTTGCATGCTCCTAAATAAAAAAATTCTTAAAAACAATTTTAAAAGGGCTCCGGGGTGGCTCAGTCGTTAAGCGTCTGCCTTCGGCTCAGGTCATGATCCCGGGGTCCTGGGATCGAGCCCCGCATCGGGCTCCCTGCTCGGTGGGGAACCTGCTTCTCTCTCTCCCACTCCCCCTGCTTGTGTTCCCTCTCTCGCTGTGTCTCTCAGTCAAATAAATAAATAAAAAAAATTCTTAAAGAGTCGCATGCTCCACCGACTGAGCCGGCCAGGCCCACCTGCCGTTATTGTTACGATACACAGCGACAGAGGCGAGACTGGCATTGTGTGCCCAGAGGAGGGGCTGCTTCGTTCTGCACGCGGTAAGCCCGTGGTAGTGACGTCACTGTTCGGTGATGACGTCAGCTCCCCACCAGGAGGAGGGTGGGCGTGGAATTAGTGATGTCACTGGTTGCCAGGCAGATGAGCTCAGGGAGTGGGCGCCTGGAGGCGGTCAGTTCCCATTAGACAGACTGGAGGCTAAGTGCCTGGGTCTTGGCGCTCTCCGCCGCTCTCCTCGACTCGCTGAGCCTCAGTTTCCTTATCTGTCCCATGAGGATAATGGTCATCTCTACCTCAGGGTTTTCATCCTACCTGAGGATTAAAAGGGATAATCTAGGGGCGCCTAAGCGTCTGCCTTCGGCTCAGGTCATGATCCCGGGGTCCTGGGATCGAGCCCCACATGGCCTGCTTCTCCCTCTGCTTGCCGCTCTCCCTGCTTGTGCTCTCTCCTCTGTCAAATAAATAAAATCTTTAAAAAAGAAAACTAAAAGGGATAATCTAGGTTAGGCGCCTGGCTCCTGGGAAACACCAGGGAAGCCGAAGCTCCCTTTGGTGGGCAGCGCTGTTTGGGTCTTTGATCTGACAGCCACTTGGAGAGATGTCCTCCCCAGTTGACAGGAAAGGAAAAGGGAGAGGCCAACAGGGAAAAGATCCTGTGCCCTTCAGGAGCCCCTGAAATATTCACTGATGGCGTGAATGAATAAATACGGGGGTGGCCCCCTCCCACCCCCCCGCCCAGCACTGACAGCCTCGACAGGGAGGGTCCACGCCCCACCCCAGGGGGCCACGTCCTTGGTGCTCCACCTGTATCTGTCTGATCCAATACATGCGGGAGTGAACGGAGGCGGAGTGAATGGAGGCATTGACCAAGAAGCGAGTCAGGGAAAGTCAAAGAGCTTTTGTGAGGGGCGCCTGGGTGGCTCAGTTGGTGAAGCGACTGCCTTCGGCTCAGGTCATGATCCTGGAGTCCCGGGATCGAGTCCCGCATCGGGCTCCCTGCTCGGCAGGGAGTCTGCTTCTCCCTCTGACCCTCCCCACTCTCATGTGCTCTCTCTCTCCTCTCATCCTCTCTCTCAAATAAATAAATAAAATCTTTAAAAAAAAAAAAAAAGAGCTTTTGTGATGTCCTTTCCCCTGCCTCAGCCTTCTCAGCGCCCCCAGCACTTCAGAATCCCCCGCCGAACCCTTAGAGATGCCCACAGCCGGGCCCCCTTGCAGGCCAGCAGTGTCCAGACCTTACCCCTGTGCCCTCAGAACCCAGAACAGCCAATTGCTCATTAAATAAATAATCGAGGGACGAATGCCGCCTTCCGCCATGTACTGATGCTACTGATGGGGCAGTGGAAGGAAGGGAGAGTGATTTGGCCAAGGCCACACGTGGCAGGGTCCAGGCAGAGCTGAGATTTGAACCTCAGCCCTGCAGGCAGTCCCCCCTTCCCCCACCCCATGCACTGAGCACTATTCCCACCTCCAGGCCTTTGAACGGGACCGGTCCACCCACCAGGAATGCTGTGCCCGCCCTTGTCTGTGCTTGAGCGTGGAGGAGGCCGGGGAGCCCCCACCCCATTCCTGCTTGGCTGAATCTCACTGTGTGTCCTAAAACAGGTGCTGTGTGCCTTCACTTCCCAGCTTGTAAATTGAATCTGGCCCCACACCACATCCGGGGCCTGGCACGAAGCTATGATTGGAGCAGAGGGCGAAGGTAACAATGGAGCTGGGTCAGAGTCCGGCCACAGGGGGAAGAGCAGACCGCGCTCGGGCCGACACGATGGGCAGTTGGCTGAGCACCCGCTTATTAGCCTCCTCAAAGGTGCCTGGCCCGGTCTGCCCTGCTCGGGAGACCCCAGGACGTGAGGCTCGAAGAATGGCCCAACACATCGACCCTCCGGCCTCCCACCGCAGCCCTGGCCCTCTCTCTCTCTGTCCGCACTGCTCCCATCCAGCTCTGGTCTCCTCCTTGCCCCCTCGCCCTCCAGACAGCCCCCTCAGTCCCTTGGCCTCCAGTCCCTCCCACCTGCCCATCCTGCACATGGCCACAGCCCCTCAGCCCAGAACTCAAGGCCCCCCGTAACCTGGGCCTGCCTATTCCTCTGGCCTCCTCTGACCTGAAAGACCCTGTCTGACTTCCCTCTGGCCCCAGCAGGGGAGGAAGGGCAGGGGAGCCACCCCTAAGGAAAATCTATGTCAAGGACATACATGATCAGACTTCTCCCAGAACCCCATGAAGTGGGTGTGGAGAGCACTACTTCGTGCCGGAAGAAATGGAGGCCCAGAGAGGTTAATACATTTCCCTAAGGTCACACAGCAATCTTCCCAGGGGGTCTCGGTAAGTACCTGTCAACGTGCCTCCGCCCCTTCCTCTGCTGCTGGAGCGCAGTGTGTTGGTCACGTTCAGTGTTTTATCCCCAGGGCCTGGCACACGATAGGTGTGCAATAAACAAATCTGTCCCCAGTTCAGATCCCCTGGTGGTGGGGGCTCTATCACCATCTCCAGAGGCAGCCCAGTCCACAGTGGGGAAGGAAGACGGGCTGAGGTTGTGTAGACTTGGATTTGAACTCAGGCTCTGCTACCAACTAGCTCCGTGACCTTGAATACATGGCTTAGCCTCTCTGCGCCTCAGGATGAGGAGGATAGGAAGGCTTCCCCCGAGGGAACTTGGTAAAAATTAAAAGCCACGCTGCCTCTGGACTTTAGTCGCCTCCTTACGGATCTCCCTGCTTCCACCCCTGCACCCCAGGGACAGTTTTCTCCACTGTTAGAAACTAAGTAGGCTCTTGTCTCTCGTCGGCTCCAAACCCACCCGCCTTGCTCAGAGAAAAAACAACGTCCTCACCATGAATAGGAGGCCCCACAAGAGCCGCCCTGACCCTTCTGCCTTAATTTTCACCCCCACCCCTCGCTTACTGATCTCCTTGCTGGTCCTCCGACCCTTCAGGCCGAGGCCTGCCTCAGGGCCTTTGCACTGACTGCTCTCTGTCTTCCATCCGGGCCTGTGATTAGCAGCCCCGCCTCCTGTCTTTGCTGTGACACACAGCACCCCCTGCACCTTGTCCGTGAGGCCTCACCCGCCATCCTGTTTACACTTGGGCCATACCCCAACCCCCACCCTGCTTTGTCTTCCCAACACGCTGGGCAGCTTCTGAGCCGCTCTCACGGTTTATGTAGCTCTTTGATTGTTTACTGCCTTCCTTCTCCACTTGCAGGTAAGCTCCGTGAGACCAGGGATTATCTTATTTATTTATTTATTTGTTTGTTTGTTTAGGGGCCATCTTTTTTTTTTTTTAAGATTTTATTTATTTATTTGAGAGAGAGAATGAGAGACAGAGAGTATGAGAGGGAGGAGGGTCAGAGGGAGAAGCAGACTCCCTGCTGAGCAGGGAGCCGGAAGCGATGCGGGACTCCAACCAGGGACTCCAGGATCATGACCTGAGCTGAAGGCAGTCGCTTAACCAACTGGAGCCACCCAGGCGCCCTAGGGGGCCATCGTGATTGCCAATGTGTCCAATACACAGAGTAGTCCTTCGGTCAATGTTTGTTGAAGTCAAATTAATGCGGCGGAGAGCTGCCTGGCCCGGTACTCCCCACTACGTTATGTGCCTGGCTTCCTTCATTCCCTCCACCCCCCTAGGGGGCGGGTGGTATTACCATCCCTGCCTGACAAATGTGAGACGGAGGCACAGAGAGGCAGGGTCACTGGGCTGATGTCACACAGCCACAGAGGGCAGAACTGGGATTTGAACCCAAGCAGTGTGACCCCACGGTTTGACCCTTAACCAGCCAGGGCCATGGGGTAGCGCCTCTGGGCCCCTGCATTTGGTGCTTCCCAGGTGTACTCCTTTCTGGGCAGGTGGTCCAGGAGACGTAGGTTTGCCCTCGGGCAACTTGCGTAACCTCTCCCAGTCTGTCTCCACCCCCCCCCCCTTGTTCACCGGAGTATTTAACTCTTAGGAGAATATTATTATCATATTGTATTACATTATATACTGCATATTCATACATCTCACTGAACTGTCTTTTTTTTTAAGATTTATTTATTTATTTGAGAGAGAGCAAGAGAGCAGGGGGAGAGGCAGAGGGAGAGGGAGAGAGAATCCCAATCAGACTCCGTGCTGAGCTCGGAGCCCTACGCGGGGCTCGATCTCACCACCTGGAGATCATGACCCAAGCTGAAACCAAGAGGGGGATGCCCCACCGACTCTGCCACCCAGGTGCCCCTGAACTATCTTATTATAAGCAGATACTATTTTTTAAAAATTTTTAGAAGAGATTTTATTTATTTATTTGACTGAGAGACACAGCGAGAGAGGGAACACAAGCAGGGGGAGTGGGAGAGGGAGAAGCAGGCCCCCCGCTGAGCAGGGAGCCGGATGCGGGGCTCGATCCCAGGACCCCGGGATCATGACCTGAGCCTAAGGCAGACACTTAATGACTGAGCCACCCAGGCGCCCCTATAAGCAGATTTTAAACCAGAGTCTCTCCCCGCTCCTGGGTGTTCACCCAAGAGCAACGAATGCTTATGTTCACACAAACATCTGTACTCGATGTTTATAGCGACACTGTTCATAATCGCCCAAAACTGGGACCAACCCAGACGTCCTCCAACAGGTGAGCAGGTCACCAGCGGTCCACCCACACCACGGGATACTACTTGGCCATGACAAGAAACAGACTGCTGAGACCCACAACCACATGGATACCTCTCGAAGGCACGGCGCAGAGCGAAAGGAGCCAGACTCAGGAAGGCACATCTGTATAGTCCCATCCATAGGACGGCGGCCCCCATGGACGTCCACACCCCGATCCCCGGAGCTGTGACTATGGTACACTGCAGGGAAAAGGGGATCTTGCAGCTGCGATTCTGGTCAGGATTTCGAGACGGGGAGATTATCGGATGGCCCTAAATTTAATCATGAGGGTCCTTCTGAGAAGGAGAGGAGCTGTGATCACAGAGGTCAGAGAGCAGAGAGTTTGGAAGATGCGAGTGGGTGGCTGGCTTTGGAGACGGACAAAGGAGCCACGAGCCACGGAATGCAAGCGGCTTCTAGGAGCTTCTAGAAGCTGGAAAGGCACGGAAGGACCCGATTCTCCCGAGCGCTTCTGGGAGGAACGGGGCCCTGCTGCCATGCAGATCTGAGCCCGTTAACACCGATTTCGGACTTCTGAGCTCTGCAAGTGTGGGGACATGGATTTGTATGGCCTGAGGCCACTCTCTGTGTGTGTCATTTGCTGTAGCCACAACAGGGAACATGACATTTCGAAACGGCAAAGCTGTGTGGACAGAGACTAGATCCAGGGCAGTGGGGGTGGGGAGGGGGGCTGACCTCAAAGGGATGATGGGAACGGTTCTGATGGTGGAGATGGTTACACAAATCGTACATGTTCCTAAAATTCATAGAACTATACACTCCACCTTACACAGACACACAAATCAACTTTATGATTTTCTTTAAAAAGCCTCCTTCAGGGGCGCCTGGGTGGCTCAGTCGTTGGGCGTCTGCCTTCAGCTCAGGTCATGATCCCGGGGTCCTGGGATTGAGCCCCACGTCGGGCTCCCTGCTCAGGGGGAAGCCTGCTTCTCCCTCTCCCACTCCCTCTGCTTGTGTTCCCTCTCTCACTGTCAAAAAATAGATGAAATCTTTAAAAAATAAAATAAAATAAAATAAAAAGCCTCCTTCATATAAATGCTTAATGTCCATTAGCCATTATTATAACAAAACATCCTGTTGGCCTATGTTACAGGCGTGCCTTGGATTTGCTGTGTGACCTGAGGTCACCCGCAAGCCCTCTCTGGTCTCATTTCAAGAATGAGCAGTGGCAGTGGGAACGGGAACTTCTTTTCCGGGGACATTCCTGTCTGATGTCCAAGGAAAGCTCTCCACCCCTGGGAGCTTTAGGCCTTATTGCCTGAGATGGGGCAAATTGATTCATTCAGCCCACAAATATTTACTGAGCACCTGCTCTACTCTGGGGGACATACAAAAGCAAAGTGAAGTGACCAAAAAACCCTATTGCAGTTGGTGTTTGAATGGGCAAAAATGAACCCAAAATGTTCTAGTGTGTGTGTGCGCGTGTGTTTTTTAAAGATTTCATTTTTAAGTAACTCCTACACTCCGCGTGGGGCTCGAATTCACAACCCCGAGATCAAGAATTGCATGCTCCACCGACTGAGCCAGCTGGGCTCCCCTGAACCCCAAATGTTTTCAATGTGGTATGTCGGATGGTGACGGGGGAAGACAGAGCAGATGGGGGATAGGGAGCACCTGGGGAAGGTTGCAGGTTTAGATCAATGGAACGGGAAGGAGTAACTGGGGGGACCGCGTGTGCAAAGGAGGTGACAGAATCCGCGGCTGGGATTCTGGGGTCTGCGTGGGGCTGGCGCTGCCCCCCCTTCCTGGGAGCGGCCCCACCCTTCAGGAATGCAATCGGGCTGCAGGATGTCTCTTAGCAGCCCAGCTGGCTGTCCTGCTCCTGCTGACTCATGGCAGGCGCCTGTGGTCAACCTGCCTTTCTCTGGGGAACACTGCCAAGACTCCCTGAGCCTGAGCCTGAGCCGGGTTCAGCGCGCCCCATTCCCAGAACGCACTGTGCAGCGCCTGGGCCAGCCACCATGCCTTTGTCTGGGTTGTTCTCCGTGGCAGGAGTACCTCTCCCTCACCTCCTGAAATTGCACTTGGAGTCCATCTGGACTACCAGCCTCATCTCCTCTGGGCACCTCCATCCCAGTGGAATGACTCACGCGTTGGCCGGAGTACAGAGAAACAGGCTCTTTTCACTTGCCTGCTCTTGGCAGGAGAGCAATTAGACTAACCTCTTGGGGAGATCACTTGGCAACATTTTAATGATGCAGACCACCGCAGCCAAAGCAGGAGACAACCCCCCCGTGTATGTGCCTCCTTACTCATCTCTGCATCCTATTTGCTTCTTTTGAATCCCTTTCAACACCTAGTAACTAATCTCTTTGTCTAGTGACTTTTTTTTTTTTAAAGATTTTATTTATTTATTTGAGACAGAATGAGAGAGAGAGAGCACATGAGAGGGGGGAGGGTCAGAGGGAGAAGCAGGCTCCCCGCTGAGCAGAGAGCCCGATGCGGGACTCGATCCAGGGACTCCAGGATCATGACCTGAGCCGAAGGCAGTCGCTTAACCAACTGAGCCACCCAGGCGCCCCGTCTAGTGACTTTTTAAAATCAGTCGCCCCCGCTCGCAGGGGCGCTAGGAGGGAGCAGAGATTCTCCTAAAGTGTCCCACCTGCAAGAACCAGTGTCTGACATTGGACACTACTCCATCATATCTGCAAATGAACGTGACCCCCAGAAATTTATGGAATAGATGGGTGGACTTGAGGGGGTGTCCAGTGAAATATACACCAGGATGTTTATTGCAAGATCATTTATAAGCAAAACTTGAAACAACACAGGACTGGATGAATACATCAGGGCCCCACAAATATTGGAATCCAGCCATTCCAACGGAGGTGTTTATTTGTTGAGAGGGATGGGGGTCACGTGTATATTTCTCAAAACCCAGCGCACTTCAGATTTGTGCCCTACACTGTATGTATACATCCTCTATTAAAAGAAAATCCTGTCAGCAAATATGGGAATGTTTACGATGAAATATTCTGATGTCTGCAGCTTACTTCGGAAACATACCACAAATAAAAATGGATGGACAGGGGCGCCTGGGTGGCTCAGGTGGTTAAGCGACTGCCTTCGGCTCAGGACATGATCCTGGAGTCCCGGGATCGAGTCCCACATCGGGCTCCCTGCTCGGCAGGGAGTCTGCTTCTCTCTCTGACCCTCCTCCCTCTCATGCTCTCTGTCTCATTCTCTCTGTCTCAAATAAATAAAATCTTAAAAAAAAAAATTAAAAAAAAAATGGATGGACAGATAGAAGGAGGCTCAGATACATGATAAGACACATATAATAAACTTTTAGGGGTCGTCGGTATAGAGATGTTCGCGGATAATCCTTCCAAGGTTTTTTATATGTTTGGACATTTTCACACTGAAAGATTGGAGGGATAAGCAGGTGGCATTTTTTTGGCAAGATGTCCCAGGTATTACAAATGGCTAAAGAAGGTATAAAGCAGTATCTTGCTTCTGTTTTCAAAAGAAATAAGTAAGATGAGATACACGCATGAAGATTCATTTCTGGCAGGTAGGCATTAAAAGTGGTTACTCCAGGGATGGCTCTGGGGTAGTCGTGAGACTAGAATTTTCCATTTCATGACTTCCCTACGTCTTGAATTCTGAACCGTAAGCATCGTGCCAGTGACTGACCTTGGCGGGTGGGACCAGAGACGTCTAGGGGTATGTGGGAGCCACAGATGGAAGAGCCCGGGACCCCCCAAACATGTGGCCACGTGGCCCAAAACACTTGCGGCTGGGATGTGAGCCCTCGATGAATTTCTACCACGTTGAACACCGCAAGTGGAAGCTAAGTCCACCAGGCTTCCTTAGTACGGTGCATGCAGGCGCATGCGTCTTTTTCTTTCTCTTTAGAAAATCTCATTAGGAAAATAAATTCTTGGAACCTATCTCTATATCTTTTGATCATCTGAGTTTATTAATAAGTTAATGGTCTCTCCCAACAATGCCATTGCCAGCCTCAGGGAATCCCAGTACTACCAGTTTGGTGAGTAACCTAACTGCTTATAGAAGCACATACAGATATTCACAGTGTGACTGCTCTGATTTCTCCCCGGCTTCCCCCTCCTCCCCCTCCTCCACCCCCTCCTCCTCCCCCTCCTCCTCCCCCTCCTCCTCTCCCCTCCTCCTCTTCCCCCTCCTCTTCCCCTCCTCCTCCCCCTCTGCCTCCTCCCCTTCCCCCTTTTCCTCCCTTCCTTCTAAAAAATATTGATTTCATACCTTACACCTTACTCTGCACCTTGGTTATTTTTTAGGTCGATCTACAGCTGTCTCGTCCTGTTCAAAAATAGCTGCAAGATACCCCACTTCCATCCTTTTAAAATCTAGTTTCCCTTTGAAGAAATGTATTAGTCTTAAGTGAATTTTGACAAACGCATATCCTCCTGCCATGCCAACTCCTAGCAAGATGCAGAAGAGCCCAGCATCCCAGAAAGTTTCCTGGTGGCTCCTCCAAATCTGTCCCCGCCCCTGCCCGAGAGGTGACCTCTGTCCCGAGTTTTCCTCAGAAATGGAGTTGTCTGGTCTTGGGTGTTCTAGAACTTTCATCTTATAGAATGTGCTCCAGTGTCTGGTTTCTTTCGCTCAGCGTAACGTTCCTGACATTCATGGATGTCTGTGTGTATATTAGAGGTTTTTTTCTTTTCTGTGGCTGAGTCGAATTCCACTGTATGAATAAATCACAGGGTGCGTATCCATTTCCCCGTTCTTGGCTGTTTCCAGATCAGGCTCTTATGCCTGTAGGGGCTGCACCCATCCTGGTCTTTGGGTCTCGACTTGGGCAAATGACGGGGAATTGGAATTGCTCAGGCATAGGGTGGGGGTCATATCATTTGCATTACAGCAGCTACGCATTTGAAGTTCTGATGGGGTAAAATTCCCTCCCCGGTTTCCTTTCCCCTCCCTGGGCACTTCTTGCACATTTCAAATCCACCCAAACTTTTAAATAACTTAAAAAAATTTTTTTGAGATGTATCACTTTGATATATCACTTCCCTAAGGCTAATAGTCATGGAGAAAAATCTAGCTAAAGAAATTAATCACTCTCTTCAAATTCTCAGAGTCCTTTGTACTGCTGCCTGGGTTTTGTCCCTCAAAGACCAGCAGATTCATTGTGCCCCCATCGGCTCGCACGGCCCCCACCTCTCTGAGGCCCCCACCTCTCTGAGGCCCCCACCTCTCTGAGGCCCCCACGCCAGCATGGCCAGTGTTGTTCTGTTCCCACCACCAAGTTCTTCTTGTTCCCTACATACTCTATGGTCCACCACTCCTCGCATCTCTGTGTGTGCCCTGCCTTTAGCCTGAGGCTCTTTGTGACTTTTCTTTCTTTCCTTTCTCTCTAACGCTTCCCGCCCCCCCCCTTCCAACATGCATTTATTAAGCTCCTACTATGTACCTCTCCTGGCCCTTGGGTCACTCACAGCCTGGAGCCATGCCGGCCAACAGAACTTTCCGGAATGATGGAAACAGTCCGTTCTGCACCTCCTGGCATGGCAGCTGCTGGCCCCGTGTGGGCCACTGAGCCCTTGAAAGGTGGCCATAGCAACAGGGGGCCCTTTAAATTGTATTTACTTATTATTGATTTCAGCTGCCACCCTGACACTCAATTCCAATGATCAGAAAGCTTTTTAGGCAGGTTGGGAACAACTCAGGCCTGAGGAGGGCCTTTCTCCAGCTGTGAGACCTAGAGGCAGGTCAAGTCTTCCTGATGGAAGACTAGTGTCATTGGAGCAAAAGGCCACTTGGTCCCAAAGGCTTCGTGCACAGAGCATGTAAAATATTTCATTGATAATTTTTTCTATCGGTTCCGTGTTCAAACGGTAGCGTTTCAGATATATCAGGTTAGACAAAATACAGAATTAAAATGATTTTGCCTGTGTCTTTTGCCGCTTTTTTCTCTCTCTCTCTCTCTCTCTCTCTCTTTTTTTAACGTGGCCGGGAGGAAATGTTTACCTCGGGGACTCACGCTGTGCATCTATGGGACCGCGTCGGTCTGGAGGGTGGACAGACCACAGACTTACTGGTCCGCTTGTGGAGGTGATGTCTGCAGAGGGACAGCTCTCCCCTGCAGTCTGAGGTCTCCTGTCTGAGCTCTTTCTCTAGGGGGTTCAGAGCGAGGCCCTGGGAGCGCATCTCTGATGTACAAGTCCTCTCTGGGCCTCAGTGTGCCCATCTGGAAAATGGGAATCCCAACCTCAGCGGCCTCACAGGGCTGTTTCGAGGATCCAAGGATCTTAATCCACACAAAGCCCTCAAGGAGCCTGGCGCATGCTGAATGCTCAAGAAGGTTCTAATTATCACCATTCTTCACCCTGGCCCCACCCTTCCTGGCACCTGAGTTCCTGGCTCAGGAGGAGGGTCACGGGATTTGGAGAAGGAGGAAGAAAAAAACAAACCCTGACTCAGCAGAGAGCGCTGGGTCTGGCCTATCCCAGGGCATCACCCACTGCACCCATTTCACAGACGTACAGCTCCAAGCGCCCCTGTCTGCCCCGCGGGTCCCCACCAGCGAGCGACGTGGCCAGTTGCCTGCTTGCGACCTTTGTGACTCGCATTCTTGCCTACAGTGGCAAAGTCCTGGGGTGCGGGGCCTGGTCCCGACCTCTCTCTTGGGGCCTCTGATCCAGGCCTCCCCAGCAACACCAGCATCTTCCTCCTTGCCCTGGCATTCGATGCCACCAGAGAGTCTGCCGGGGTGCCACTCTCCCTCCCATAGACCCCCACCCCCAGCAAACTGAGCTGCTCAGTCCTTTCCAAGCGGCTCCTGGATGTTCCCATTCTCCAGCCCTGAAAGAGCACTTGGGAATGGAGACACATCCTGCCCTTTGCTCTCCAAGCCTGGGTCATCATCGGGGAGCCGGGTGGCTGTGAGTATCTCCCAAGGCACCTTATTTACTAGCGGCAGCCCAGAGTCCCCGCCCCTCTCTGCCTGCACAAATTCCACCCAGGCGGCGAGGTCCAATGTCCTATTATTTGTTTATTGCTTAGAACCTTTTTATTAGCGGCCCCTTCTCCTTGGGAAAAAGGCAGCTCTGTGACTGGCAGGGCGCTGGCCAATAAAATCTTTGAATGGCTCAGCCCTCCCCAAGGAAGGAGGGGGCCCGGATTTTAAAACCAGGGCTGGAGACCTCAGCCATAAACCGGCGGAGATCAGAAAGGGCCTTGCAGCAGGCTCTCCAAGATCAGAGGGAGGAAGGGAGGGGTGGCAACCGCAGGTCCAAATACCTGCTTGGCTTCCTCCGGCCTCGACTCTTTCCAGAAGGGGCTGGTGGTGGTGCAGCCCAGCGTGTGGACACTCCGGAAACGAGCCAGAGCACAGACCACCCACCACGCCTCCCATCCGGGCTGGGGCTACCTCCCCTTGCTCATCCCCAGACTCCTTTCCTGCCCACCCATGCCAGCCAGGGTGCGAGAGTCAGGCAGCCTCGGTTCAGATCCTGGCGACATCCCACTTGGCAGCTGTGTGACCTCGGGCAACTCACTCAACCTCTCTGGGCCTCAGTTGTCTCAATCATAAACGGGATGACAATAGCTGACCATTTGTGTGCCGGTTAATCTCAGACAGTTGCTGGGAAGCGGCACCTAAGAAAGGACCAGAGGGATTCATGTCTCCCGGGCCTGTCTCCCCATTGGCTCCACCACGGTACGCTGAACACAACAGTCCGGGTCCCGCCTGCCCCCTGCTCTTAACGTTTTCCTTTTCAAATTTTGATTTTGCCCTTAATATCCCCCTTTTGTACATCGGTACCTACACCACAGCATGGAACACCACAGGACTTATAAAACGTGATGGATCGCAAACCCCGCGAACGAGAACGTTCTGAGCCCTGTGTCTCGCTGGTGTCTCTGGGCTCCTCCTCCCCACAACTACTATATCCGTGAAATCCTCGTGTCACAGAGTTTTGTCGCACGTGACTGTATTCCCAAAGTAATATATGAGCTTTTCTGGATTTCGGGGGGGGGGCCGTAAAAAAATGGAATCAGGTGGCAGATGGTGTCCTGCAAATTCTCTTGCCAGACATTAAGAGGCATCCTGTGGCTGTGCGTAATAATTGTCCCCATGGGAATTTTCCACTGCCCGCTGGTCCCCTCTGATCCACAGCTTGCCCCTCCTCTCCCTGCCTGCCCTGCCCCTTGCTCACCTGCCTTGCAGCCCTGACTCATCCTGCAAGCTTGCCTAATCTCCATTCATTCCTTGCCATCATTCTCTGAGACTCACTAGGGCCCCAGAGGTGGCCCAGGTCTGGCCCTACCTGTGAACAGTGCACAGTGTGGTGCGTAGGATGAGTATGAAGCTGGGAGTGGGGTCAGGGACCCACCTGTGGCAGCCAAGAATCTGACATGGTGTGAGAAGGGTGTTTGCTAGACAAGGCAGAGAGAGGTCATCCCAGGCAAAGGAATGTTCGGATGCAAGGCCCAAAGGTGTGGGATCCAGGCCGGAGTGGGTGTGGAGGCAAGCAGGTGGGGCCCAGGCATTGAGGAAGGTGGGGACTGTGGGAACAGAGAGGAGCTCCCACAGAAGAAGCAGGGTGAGCGGTGGGACCTCAACCCCACTCCCCTGTTTTAAACCAGAGCAGCTCCGTCTTGAACTCTATGATGTATTTCTGCTCCAGAAGAAAATTCCTCTGGGACAAAGAAATCTGTGTCTTAAAAGGTTTTAGAAACCATCACTATGAGTGCTAGTGAGCCATAGAAGGAACATGGCCAGGGGTAGATTTGGAGGTTAGAAAAGACTTCCCTGGGAATCCCCACAGAGGAACTGAATATGCAAAGGCACTGGGGCAGAGAACAGTGAGGTGTGGCCAAGAAATCTCAAGTACTGGGAGAGATGGAATACACGGGCAGGAGGCCAGACCACCAGGGCCTGGAAGGCCTTGGGACTGGGGGGAAGAGAGGGACAGCTCTGGGAAGGACTGGAGGCAGGGAGGCTGGGGTGAGGCTGGGGGAAGGGTGGGACAGGAGGCCTGGGGGGACAGGCAGGGGGAGGCATGGGCTGGAGAGTCCTGGCACAGGACAGTGGGGCTGGACACTGACAAGCTTACAGGAGGGAGAGGAAGGGAGAGGCAATGCCTGGGGGTGACCCGGGGACCCATGAGGCCATCCTGGAGATGGCAACCGGGGAGGAGGGACGATTCTGGGGAGCCGCTGAGCTCCCACTCCCCTGGGGATGGTGCGTGCCTGAGCCACCTGGGAGGGGCCCAGACGGAATGGTAAGGGTCCTCGTGAGGGACATCCTCCTGGGCCCAGGGGTTCCAGAAGCTCATGGAGAAGAAAGTTTGAGGTGCCCTTAGGACTCCTTAGGGACCCACAGACATTCAGGTCCAGAGGTGTCTTACAGGTGAGCGGTTATTTACCCCCATTTTTTCAGATGGAGAAACTGAGGCTCAAGAGGGCACCTGACTGGATCAAGGTCACACACTGAGCAAGGGCTGGGGATTTGCTGGCCCACTGGATGTGGGGGAGCAGACAGGAAGGAGGCTCCCAGCTGCCCTGGCGGGGGGATGAGGTCCCCCCAGAGGTGGAAGCCCAGGAGGGAAGCCCGTTGATCTCTGGAGGCAGAAATTGCAGAACCCAGGGGCCAGGAGAGCAGGAGACAAGAATGCTGAGTGGAGGATGCTGGGGCCTCCCTCAAGCAGGCCTGGGACAGGCTGGTGAGCACTCTCAGCCCGAGAGACCCAGGGCCGCTGGGAGGCTTGTCCACATCACACAGCCATCAGAATTCAACTCTCTGTGCCCTGGCTCCGGGCTGAGGGAGGGGAGGGCAGGGGAGGGACCGACTATAGCCTGGGGTGGCTGGAGGGGCCCAGAAGGCAGCGGAGACACTCGCCTGGCAGAGTGGAAGATAGTGGGGGTGGCAGATCATCTAAGCAGCTGGCTGTGTGATCTTGGGCGGGCCGCCTGCCCTCTCTGAGCCTCCACTTACTCATGTGGAAATGGAGCTACGGGGAGGGGGTATCGCCAAGGCTGTTGAGGACAGGAGGGACCACAGACCCTGGGGTCAGACCCATCGGGTTCAGCTCTGTCCCGGGCTGCGTGACCATGGCCATGGCACTTTCGCTCTCAGCCTCAGTTTCCCCATCCAGAAAGCGGGTATGATAAAAGCGCCCGACTCATCCCCAGGAACAAAGAGGTCACGCTCAGGAGGTGGGGAGCGCCGTGCCCTGACCTCTCCTATGAGGGCTGCCGAGTCCGGGGCCCAACCTCCTGTCCTCGGAGCCCCCGGGGACACAGCCTCTGGCTCGGGGACCCAGCTGCATCCCCACCCCTGCCCACCTCTGTGCTCCCATCCTCCCCCGAGCAGAGCAGGTGCCATATTCCGAGCCCCCATGAGGGAAAGCACCCCCATCCGAAGGGCCTCTGGGGTGTCCAGGAGGAAAACGGGGCAGCAGGCCCTTACGTTTCCTGAGCAGTTACTGTGAGCCCGACTCCCACTCTCATGCAGCCCTGTGTCAGGAAGACACCTTTGGAAGACAGAGAAACTGAGGCCCCGCAATGGTCGGGGACACCTCGGGCATCCCAGCGGTTAACTCAGCACAGCCCCGTCCCCCACTCCCTTCCAGAAGCCAGCTGGGTCCTGGCCAGGTCTGAGGCAGCAGGAGGCTGCAGCAGAGGCCCCTGGCTCTTCCCCAGGCCCCCTCCTCCAGGGTAGGGGGTCGGCGGGGCAGGGGCGGAGATCTCCTGGCTCCTGCCCAGGCCCGGGCCTCACCTGAGTTCCGAGATGTTGTTTTCATGCGTGTCCCACAGCGCAGGGATCCGGGGCTCGGCGGGCCCGTCCATGGCGGGCCGGTGAGGGAAGGGAGGGGAGGACGCGCAGGGAGCAGGCGGCTCGGGGGCCAAGTATGTGCGGCGGGGGCATCTGCCACCCGAGGAGCCTGCCAGGTGCCTCCCTCCACGCCCAAGGGGAGGGGCAGCACCCAGCCGGTTCTCCCAGCTGCTACCCACGCCTCCAACCGCGGGGAGAGGTTGGGAGGGAGCCACCCTTCTCCGAGGGTGGGGAGGGGAGGAGAGCTGATGGACACGTCTCAGGAATCTCCCCAGTGGCCGGGGGCAGAGTCCGGGAGGGCCACTCCAATTCCAATTCCATACTGGAACCTTCTTGGCTAGTGGTTCCAGGCAAACCTACCCGGAGTCTCAGTTTGCAAATGTGCCAAAAAGCTAATCTGATCTCAGAGGGTTCATTCATTCACCCATTCACTTATTCATTCAAGAAATATTTATTGAGTGCCTCGGGTCTACGAGGCACTGCTCTAAGGGCTGGGGCACTGTTAGAACCACTTGCTCTGCTCAGGGGAGGATGGGAGCGCAGAGATGGGCAGGGGCGGGGATGCAGCTGGGTCCCCGAGCCAGAGGCTGTGTCCCCGGGGGCTCCGAGGACAGGAGGTTGGGCCCCGGACTCGGCAGCCCTCATAGGAGAGGTCAGGGCACGGCGCTCCCCACCTCCTGAGCGTGACCTCTTTGTTCCTGGGGATGAGTCGGGCGCTTTTATCATACCCGCTTTCCGGATGGGGAAACTGAGGCTGAGAGCGAAAGTGCCATGGCCATGGTCACGCAGCCCGGGACAGAGCTGAACCCGATGGGTCTGACCCCAGGGTCTGTGGTCCCTCCTGTCCTCAACAGCCTTGGCGATACCCCCTCCCCGTAGCTCCATTTCCACATGAGCAAGTGGAGGCTCAGAGAGGGCAGGCGGCCCGCCCAGGATCACACAGCCAGCTGCTTAGATGATCTGCCACCCCCACTATCTTCCACTCTGCCAGGCGAGTGTCTCCGCTGCCCTCTGGGCCCCTCCAGCCACCCCAGGCTATAGTCGGTCCCTCCCCTGCCCTCCCCTCCCTCAGCCCGGAGCCAGGGCACAGAGAGTTGAATTCTGATGGCTGTGTGATGTAGACAAGCCTCCCAGCGGCCCTGGGTCTCTCGGGCTGAGAGTGCTCACCAGCCTGTCCCAGGCCTGCTTGAGGGAGGCCCCAGCATCCTCCACTCAGCATTCTTTTTTTTTTTTTAAGATTTTATTTATTTATTTATTTGACAGAGAGAGACACAGCAAGAGAGGGAGCACAAGCGGGGGGAGCGGGAGAGGGAGAAGCAGGCTTCCCGCGGAGCAGGGAGCCTGATATGGGGCTCGATCCCAGGACCCTGGGATCATGACCTGAGCTGAAGGCAGATGCCTAACGACTGAGCCAGGCGCCCCTCCGCTCAATATTCTTGTCTCCTGCTCTCCTGGCCCCTGGGTTCTGCAATTTATGCCTCCAGAGATCAACGGGCTTCCCTCCTGGGCTTCCACCTCTGAGGGAACCTCACCCCCCACCAGGGCAGCTGGGAGCCTCCCTCCTGTCTGCTCCCCCACATCCAGGGGGCCAGCAAATCCCCAGCCCTTGCTCAGTGTGTGACCTTGATCCAGTCAGGTGCCCTCTTGAGCCTCAGTTTCTCTATCTGAAAAATGGGGGTAAATAACCGCTCACCTGTAAGACACCTCTGGACCTGAATGTCTGTGGGTCCCTAAGGAGTCCTAAGGGCACCTCAAACTTTCTTCTCCATGAGCTTCTGGAACCCCTGGGCCCAGGAGGATGTCCCTCACGAGGACCCTTACCATTCCGTCTGGGCCCCTCCCAGGCGGCTCAGGCACGCACCATCCCCAGGGGAGTGGGAGCTCAGCGGCTCCCCAGAATCATCCCTCCTCCCCGGTTGCCATCTCCGGGATGGCCTTATGGGTCCCCGGGTCACCCCCAGGCATTGCCTCTCCCTTCCTCTCCCTCCTGTAAGCTTGTCAGTGTCCAGCCCCACTGTCCTGTGCCAGGACTCTCCAGCCCATGCCTCCCCCTGCCTGTCCCCCCAGGCCTCCTGTCCCACCCTTCCCCCAGCCTCACTCCAGCCTCCCTGCCTCCAGTCCTTCCCAGAGTTGTCCCTCCCCTCCCCCCAGTCCCAAGGCCTTCCAGGCCCTGGTGATCTGGCCTCCTGCCCGTGTATTCCAACTCTCCCAGTACTTGAGATTCCTTGGCCACACCTCACTGTTCTCTGACCCTCCAACCCCAACTCCACCCATCTCCTCACCCCTCAGAGACCATGAATCTGGCCAAGAAGCCTAATTTTCCCACCAGAAATGACTTGTTTTTATAGGACAGAAGGAAGATGTGTACTTAGTTTAAAAAAAAAAAAAATGGAAGGGAGGAAAGACAATGTCTGAGCTGGCAAGTCCACGTAGAAAATAAGGACCCCCGTAACCCTCCTACCCATGAAGAGAACCACCATCGATAGTTTGGTGGAATTTTCCTAGAATTTTTTGGTCATTTTTCCAGTATGTGCCAGAGAAAATTTGGTTGGATGAATAAATACAAAATTATTGCCATTTAAAATTCGATTTCCAAGGAGCGCCTGGGTGGCTCAGTTAAGTGTCTGCCTTTGGCTCAGGTCATGATTCCAGGGTCCTGGGATCGAGCCCCAAGTCAGGGTCCCTGGTCAGCAGGGAGTCTGCTTCTCCCTCTCCTTCTGCCTTCTCTCTCGTCTCGCAAATAAATAAATAAATAAATAAAATCTTTTTTTTTTTTAAGATTTTATTTTTTTGACAGAGAGAGACACAGCCAGAGAGGGAACACAAGCAGGGGGAGTGGGAGAGGGAGAAGCAGGCTTCCCGCAGAGCGAGAAGCCCGACGTGGGGCTCGATCCTAGGACCCTGGGATCATGACCTGAGCGAAGGCAGACGCTTAACGACTGAGCCACCCAGGCGCGCCAGGAGGTTTTATATAATACACAGTATATGCATCCTACTACCAGCCTAGAATCTGCAAATTTTTTAAAAAATTATTTATTTGACAGAGAAAGAGGGAGCACAAGCAGGGGGAGTGGGAGAGGGAGAAGCAGGCTCCCCGATGAGCTGGGAGCCAGATGTGGGGCTCAATCCCAGGACCCTGGGATCATGACCTGAGCCAAAGGCAGACGCTTAACGACTGAGCCACCCAGGCGCCCCGATAACCTCCCATTTCAAGATCCTTAACTGCAAAGTCCCTTTTGCTATATGAGGTCATGCCACAGGTTCTAGGAATTCGGATATGGACATCATTGGGAACATTTCTGAGCCTACCTCGATGAGTGTGGTTGTGATGATGAGCACAGAGACAGGCTCATTTTCCCTATGTTCTTTTTTCTTAAAGATTTTATTTATTTATTTGACACAGAGAGAGAGAGAGAGAGAGAGAGAACACAAGCAGGGGGAGGGGCAGAGAGAGAGGGAGAAGCAGATTCCCCGTGGAGCAGGGAACCTGATGCAGGACTCGATCCCAGGACCCTGGGATCATGACCCGAGCCGAAGGCAGACGCTTAACGACTGAGCCACCCAGGTGCCCCAATAAATAAAATCTTTCAAAAAATAAAATAAAATTCGATTTCTTGACCAATTACAGTCAGCTCTGTGTTGTTGCACGTGGGAGGGATAGGGCACGTGAGACTCACATAACAGATGCAGAAAGGCAGCTCAGAGAGGTGGGATGAGCAGCCCAGGGCCGCGCAGCGTTGCCCACTCTCACTCTGACGGCGGGAAGAAGACAAACATCCTGGGGCAATGCACCCCTTTGGTTCATCTGCCCAAAGGCCCATGGCTAGGGTGCTGCGGTATGGGGAGTCTCCCCCAACCCCACCCCACCACAGATGAGTTTGAATCTTGCCTCGGCTACTTTCAGAATTAGCCTTGATGTGCCCATCTGTGCAAAGGGCTCCCTCGCAGGGAGCGGGGGAAATCAAGAGGGCTAGCTCTCCCTGTCTGGGGCTGATGGACTTCCCTGAGGTCAGGGTAGTGGGGAGGGGCTGAGCTGGGACGCCTTTCCTGGCCCTCTGGGCTGGGCTGCCCTGCCTTTGTTCTGCCTTTAATGACTGTTTCTGGCTCTGAGGAGGTGACAACTTTGTCCCATCCCTCCCATGGGAACCTCCCCTGAACCCCGTCACCAGGTCCCCCCTGTCAGAACCAGAGGAGAAGCCAGCCTCAAGTTCCAGAGGAGAGGGAGAGTTTAGGGGGACCAGAACACTCAGACCCTTGAGGGAGACTGGGAAGGAAACTTGGGGGGTCGCCCTGGGGGACAAGGACATCTGGGAAGACCCAGGGAGAGTTTAGAGGAGAATGTTGAAGGGAGAAAGAGGGCCTGGAGGCTGTGTCTGAGTGGGCAAGAGACCAGTTAGATAAGGTAGCCCAGAGATATAGAAATGTTTGCACCTCAGGGCCTTTGTACTGCCATTCCCCTGCCTGGCGTGCTCTTCCCCAGAGAGCCGGATGCTTCGGGGCCTCCCTCCACTGCAGCTGGCCCTGCTTCTCCTTAACCTCGGCCACCAAGGTCTCCAAACTTTTCGCTCGTTACCTTCTGACATCCTAAATGTTTTACTTCTTGATATTGCTGACTGTCTGTCTCCTCATCAGACTGTCAACACCATGAAGACAGGGCTTGTTATATGTTTGTGCCCTCTTGTATCCCAGGGGAAGGGCCTGGAAGAGTTGCTGGGACTTAGGGGTTGCTCAGTAAATGCTGTGGATGGAGTGAGTGAATCATCACAGGGTGATGGGCAGTGAGCAACTGGGCAATGGTGGTTCCTGGAGAAATTGGTTGGATCTCTTCAGAAGGTGGGGGTGGGGATGGGGAGATGCAAGGCCAGGTTGTAGAGAGCGACAGGCCTAGACTCCTGAGGAGGTGGCAAGGGGAACTGGAAGACAGAGTGGCTTCTTACCCAATGACAGGAGGGGAGGGACAGTAATGGGAATCACTGACCCCATCAACATGGATATGGGGGGCCTAGGCATCTGAGGGACAGGAAAGAGATTTGGAGGTGGGGGGGAGAAGAAAGTGGAAAAGCCAGTGTCAGCTGGTGCTCCCTGGGAGCAGCAGGGATTATCCATCATCCCTCCATCCATTCATCTATCCATCCTCCAGCCATCTATCCAGCATCCCTCCATCCATTCATCATCCATCCTTCAACCATCCATCCATCATCCCTCCATCCATTCATTTGTCCATCCCCCAAACATCTATCCATCTATCCATCCTCCCCAGCCATCTATCCAGCATCCCCCATCCATTCATCATCCATCCTCCAACCATCCATCCATCATCCCTCCATCCATCCATTCACCATCCATCCTCCAACCATCTATCCATCATCCCTCCATCCATTCATTTGTCCATCTCCCAAACATCCATCTATCTATCCATCCTCCAACC